ACGGGTACTCAGAGGAAGCAAGGAGCTCACGTGGTTAGAGGAACAAGCACACTAGCCTGCATGTTTGTTCACCTAGTTGGATTATTAGGGGCATCGCCATGGTGATAGGTTGGGTTGGTTAGGACAAAAGGAAAAAGGAATTTTCCTTTTATTGATTTAAGGATTTTGAAATGAATTCAAAAGGGTTTGAGAGGAATATCCACGGAGAATTGAAAAGGGAAATAAAAGCAAAAGGTTTTCCTTATTTAACACAAATGAATTTTGGGAGGGATGCAAAAGAGATGGGAGTAATTCAAAAAGGCTTGGAGGGGAAATGCTACAGATTTGTGCCCTCTGTGCAAAACACTAAACCAACTAAAGAACTCTAGCAAACACCTACAAGCAATTCTATATGAGTGCAACAATTTATTTATAAATTGTTTTTAGTTGACTTTAGGTTTGACCTAGCAACTACATAATTCACACATTGCAGGAAAATTTTTAAAAAGTTCGTATTTTTTGCTTCTCCAAAAACTTGGGTTGTTACAATGCGCGCGCATGGAGCTCCCGCCTCGTTCTTGCCTCCTGACCGCCGTACTGGCGTTGGACGACTCCGCCCTGTGCGACGTGGCCACCGTGGCGTAGGGACGGTGGGAGGGGAGCAGGAGGCGGCATCGAACGGGGAAGAATGCGTCGCCGACCGGGGGGAGGAAATGAGCTAAGGGGATAGGGAGGGCGGGCACGGCGTGGCGTAATGAACAAAACGGGCAGGGGCAGCGATGACATTTTACCTGCGCCTACTGACTGGGTGCCAGCGTGTCAGGCTAGCGTGGCTTGCTACGTGCGCAAATATGGTAAACCCAGAACTCAAACTTCTCTCATCTGGCAAAGTTGTCATTCTAAGAGTGACAATCGGATGAGCGTCACTCGTAATAATGGTAAAAATGTAAATTCCCCCATCAATCATCAAACCAAAGAAAAAGGCCCTAGCTAGCCGTGGGGCATGCATAGCTTCGTGCAAAATCCCAACTGCTGTAAAATTGGATCAGGATTTCCAAAAATATATTTATCCAACAACATTCTATGCTTTCCTAGCTCCTTTTGCTCCTCATTTTACTCCTCCCTTCAAACTTCTTAGACCCACCTTTGCATTTTCCTCTCTGCTTGAGCTTCTGCGTCTTGTTGCCCTTCTCCTTCCTCTCGTCCAAGTTGCTCGCATCCCCATCGGAAGCATCACCATCAGAATCTCCAAACCCAGTGAGCTTCTCGTACTCCTCTTCATCAATGTCTCCACGTTTAAGCTTCTTCAAAAGCCGGTACTCATGCGCCAGCTCATCCAGGTCCTCCTTGGTTTGGATTGACTGACGCTGCTTGCCTGTCTTCTTCCGCTTTGGTTTCTCCGGCTTCTCTGGAGCTCTCTTCCTCTCTGGCTTTGGATTTTGAACTTCCTCTTCTGCTTTCCTTTTCAGTGCCTTCTTGCGTTGTTTCTCTCGAGCTTTATCCCTGCAGTGAAGCAAGACAGAAAATCATGTAAACTCCAATGTGATACTACCACGCAAAAGCACCATCTTTCGACTATGAATTGTTGGGTGGGTTTTGGAAAAAAAAAGGAAAAAGCAGCCTCAATGCAGACTTGATCACTTGCAATCACAAAAAACTGATGGAAGATATTTGAGTTTTTACTTTGTTAGGACTCAGGACAGAGGAAGAATTCATATTTCAAACATTATCATTCAAATGTGGACGATCCACAGATTTTCATTCAAATATAGATATTTCATTTTCTACAAGATCCAACACAACAAATTAGCTGTTACTTAAAAACAGGACAGCAAAAAAAAGCAAAATACGTTATGTTTGGGGATAGAGTTCTTACTTATACTTGATTTGTGTAATATCAACATCATCAACAGGAATAAATCCCTCCAGTGAAAGAGAATGATGCTTCACTTCTGGCATGGATGGGATCTGGAGTAAACCATACTCCATAGCTAGTTTTCCAATCTCGAGATCTTTCCACCTAAAAATGTAAGAGCAGTGGTGCTCCTTGTATGCTCGAACAAACGAGACAAACGCTCTAAGTCCTTTCTCCATGACATTACGATCTTCGAGCGCAGCACTTCTAATCTGCAGCCCAAAGTGGCATATTGGTTATAATTAATAATTAGAATTGGTCTCCTAAGCAGGGTAACCTTTCTATGTTACCATAGCATGATATCACTGACATTTCAAGTGGTATCTGGACCAAAACCTAAGGTACCTCTCTATCTCTAAACGATATTTGTACAAGAGAACCCACCTGCGGTATGACATCATCAGTGTTTGCAGGGCATTCCCTTTCTGTGAGAGGAACACCTCGAAGTTTCAAGAACTCAACATAAGTATCCTCCTGCAGTGCAAGTAACCTTATGTTCTTTTTTTGCTAAACAAGAACTGCACAGACATGCGCATATAGCAAATAAATACAGGAACTACTTTCACTTCTAGAATGAACAACGAGAAAACTCATCACAGAACAAAATACCTTTGGTAAGAGAAACACAATAGCATCCCCTTCTTGATCATAACGTGCTGTACGGCCAGCTCTATGTATGAAAACGTTGGGATCTTGAGGTGGATCATACTGGATGAACAAACATGCATCCTTACTATCAGCTGATGCCTGGACATGAATATTCAAATTTAGGGAGGAAAGAGCAGAATATAACCTGAACAATCAGGTCAACACTTGGTATGTCAAGACCCCTTGCTGCAACATCAGTGCAGACTAGAACGCCACTTGAAAGAGCAGAAAATGATGCCAAAGCTTTCTCTCGAAGGCCCTACATATTAGGAAAAAAAGGATAGATGAAATCAGTATGAAGAAACCACGGGGAAGCAAGTCATTAGAATACCACTTGTATCACATCCAAATGCTGTAATGTGACTTGGTCTTCACTTTGGTAAGACAAAGATTATGCCCTATTACTCTAAAAAAATATTAAATAGTAAAAATTACTCACTCCGTCCAGAAATGTAAGGCATGTTTTGACTATCCAAATCCATGTTTGACCAACAAATTAATATAAGAATAATATGTGATTGAAAATTGATACAATTGGATTCATATTCAACCGTACATTCTTACTGTTGTGATTGTAAAACTATTACTAAAATATTCAAAGAGAAATCTCTGGTCAAAACTCACTTCTAGACGGTCAAAATGTGCCTCATATTTTTGGACAGGGGGAGCATGAAACAAAGTGCTTTGCTATACCAACCTGTTTCATCTTCCCATGGTAAGCAATTATTGGAGAACCTTTAAGCGAGTTAATCAGTGGAAGAACAACAGCCCAATAATCTACACAAGCACATGTTGCAAAATACCTGCAATCAATTGGGATAGGAGGGTTCAAAAGTTAGCACAATACTACACACAACTAAGAATAAGTAGCTAAACACAAATTTCAGTTCATCATGTACTTACACCATTATTTTCTTCCCACTATTCTGCACAAGGAAATCAACAAGCTGAGATGACTTCTTTGATGCTTCACATATCATATACTGCACCAAAACAAGCTTATGATTTTGTAGGGAACAGCTAGAATTCATCAAGAAAACCAGAACACATGATCATGACAAAAACAAAGTATATTGAATGCACCTCTAACCGAAGCCCCAATGGTGTTTTGGATGGACCAAGCTCTTGCTGACCAGCATCTTTGCTTGTGGACTTTGCCTCTGTCTTAACCTCAACCCTTATAGGATTTCTCAACCCTGCTTTGGATAGGTCCGAAACAGCTTTCGTCTGGGTAGCTGAGAAAAGGCCAGTCCTCCTCAGCTTCGGTAACATTGAAAGTATGAAGTTAATGTGCTTCTGGAATCCCATATCCAAGAGTCTATCAGCCTCATCTAGGATCAAAATCTGCTTCCCATGCATACACAAAAACGAATGGAGATAACATCAATGCCACAGCATTTCCACCAAATTCAGAAGAAAAGAATCACACGAAGAGTTCCCTTGTCTCTGAAACCACCTCAAGATTCTTGTACTCTAGAGCGTCCGTGTGCATTATATCACACAACTTCCCGGGAGTGCCCACCAGTATGTTTGCGCCCTCTTCCTCTACCTTCTTGAGCTCTGCTTTGATATCCAGCCCACCCACCAGGAGCATGGACGACACGCCATTCAAGGTCGCGAAGAAGGGCTGGGCCACATTGAATATCTGCGAGGACAATTCTCTCGTGGGAGAGATAATGAGAGCAAGAACCTGCAAAAATATAACATATCGATTCATTTATTGATCAGAAAGTGAGAAAAAAGGGTGCAGATTTTTGTCAGAGGTAGCAGAAGATCAGAGCAGAGGATGTGTTGGAGGTCAGGAGCAGTGAGGCGACCTCGTGGGACTTGGGCCGGGAGGAGCGGCGGCGGAGGATCTCAACGACGGGGACGATGAAGGCAAGGGTCTTCCCAGAGCCTGTGGCGGCGTCGACGGCGACGTCCTTGTGCGATAGCAGGTGCGGGATGGCCGCCGCCTGCACGGGCGTGCACCGCTGGAAGCCTCCGCGGTCCAGGGCCTCCACCACCTCCGGGGACAGCGCGGGGGACAGCTCCGAGAACCTCCGATCCGTCAACGCGCCCTTCCGCGCGGCAGCCGCCGCCGCCGCCGACGTGCATGCGGCCATGGAAGCGCTGTTCTTAGGGTTCGGGCCTTCGTGGGGGGTTAGCGATTGGTTTGCCTTGCTCGCGCAAAACGAAAGGGTCACAAGCGGCTTGACCACAATACGTATCCTAGCTTCGAAGGCGTAATATCTATCAATGGTAAAGGTGTGAACACAAGACACTAGGCTGATGTGTACCAAAACTTGACTGCATATTCTCATTGATATTTAAACCCAATCTGGGAGGGAGGAGTATATACGCACAGCTACACACAATGACATAAACTTATGTTGCTTAAATTGTTTTATGTCCAGTATAATACAGTCACAGAAAAGAAGAATGAAGAGAATGAAAATGATGATGGTCCAAGAACTCTTCATTCAGCAGATGCAACCACAGCAGCAGCGCCTTGCTCATTCCCCTTTTGTTCTTCTGTGTCGCCACCCTGAAATAGCACATATTCACATCACCGAAAGGATAAAAAGATTAAATGGAGTTGCTTTTGTGTCAAAAAGTTGAGTGGTTTCGTAGGTCTACCTCGTCCTCTGGGACCACTACTGTCTTCACTTGTGCGACAATGACTGTGATGTCGTCCATCTTACCGCCTACAGTTACAAATTTGGGCACCAATGAGCTTACTGATCTTGCTGTTGTACATAAAGAGCATGGCATCTTATAAAGAGCTTATGCATGCCTATTAGTTTGGCTCCAAGTATCTTCTTCCACCAGGGGACATCAAAACCCTACATATCCGGAGTGCAACATGTTCCATCATTGATGATGTAAAGAATGACATGTAGAAAAGAGCATCATAAGAGATGTTTCTATCTCACCCTACTCCGGGCCTCCATTGAGTAGGGTGAATCGAATGTGACATCCACCGAATGTTTTCTTGCAAGCTCTGCCAACGCTTTTGCTGTGTAAAAGTTTAACATGGTTTTAGAAGGGGCTGGATTGCTGGAACATGTGGTCCAATGACCCCTGTTGTGGAAGTAAGAAATTTACCAGCTTCATGTACACCTGGTGACTCAGAAATTATGGAAACGATCTCTTGATCAAAGATGTTGTCAAAAAGTCCATCTGAACCACTCACAATTATATCACCCTCCATGAGATTTACACTGCAAACCTGACAGACCAACAGACTTAGAAAATCAGAAATCTTCATTGAACAGCTGGATCATATATGCACATGTTGACTGTTGTCGTGAAGCTCACTAAATCTGAAAGTAACTAGGAGGTGTTCAATATACTGATATGACAATCTTAATATGCACATGACACTTTTCTTTTTCCATTTAGATCATGTGATTTAATGAATCCAATATTGAGTCTTCCTAATAGGTTGACTTTCATATATCAACTAGCCACCTTTAAGCTTAAATTTTTACAGTGATGTATCATATTGATGGTGACTAAACATAATAAATAAAAATTAATCAGTAAAAAAAGGTAGATACCAATGCATCCTGATATGTTTGACCCACTGCCTCTGAGCTTATCTGGTATGGACAGTCAAAGTAATGTTCTTGAGGGGATATAGAGAACATTACTTGACCTAGTATGTCATTTAAGAAGAGGAGAGAATCACTGGTTAGAATTGGTACAAAATAGGTAATTTGTATATTGTTTTATTCAAGTTTACCTTTACGAATAACTTTCAACCCACAGTCTCCCACACTTGCAATTTTCAGAGTCCCGGTCTTCTCAAGCATGGCGATGATTCTATTACCATTGAAATGAATTGTACATCTTTTTAAGTATCACTCGGAACAAATAGTTACCTATAACGCCGTAACATATAACACTTTAAAAACAATGCTTACACTGTTGCAGATCCAACAGAAGAAGTTGCAGCATGAGCTTTCCTGAGAAGAATCTGAGGATCACGACTGACCTGCAACTTCCATGTGACGTAAATTTGTTACAGGCGCATAGAGTAAAGGAAATGGTGTATGTTAATAGTGCTGAGGTTTAGCAAGAGACACCTCCTCATCATTGAGAAAATTAGAGCTGTTTCTCATGAGCTCTCGAGAGAATAGAGCTGGATTGACATCCTTTTCTGCCCATCTGTCAGTAGATAAGAGAATGACTAGCAGGATAAAAACCATGTGTTAATGCATATTACTGAAAACAACATATGTTTATTGAAAGTGCTACAAACACTCAGAAGTAAAAGGCACTGATTGCCTATCAAAAAAAAAACACTGACAGTTCACTGCAGCACTTCTTTTGTGTACAGAAACAGTTTGTTGCAACAAAGATGGGCATACCCCGAGACACCATCTGCAATGGCAAATACTCCGCCAGCATCGCTATTGGCAAAGAAAGCATCTTCTCCGCCACTTGCAGCCTGCGAAATATAAAAAATACAATGGATGTCCGGCAAGCTCAATTGCAAAAAGGATTAAGAAAAAACAAACAATGTTCCCTGAGCAATTTGAATTATGTGGTTAAAATAAATAACTGACCTTTCTTGGGTGTGGGATTAGATGAGTACCAATAGACAACACAGCTTCCAACCTACAATTACAGGTTCATATGGCTGAGTACCGAGTTGCTGACAGATGAAATAAACTGCAATAACTTGAAGAGCTATAATTAGCTGCAGCTACAACCTACTGTGCCATTAGTTAGCTGAACTGAAGCAAGCAACTTAAACTTGCACCTCGATGGCAACAACAAGAGTTGACAGTGACCAAAACTAGAGGCCATCAAAGCAAACGCACATAGATAAAAGTATAAAACATCACTGGGCACACATACGAGGAGAATTTCTGCTAAAACTGAATTGCACATAGATAAAGGCACATAAAGTAGACGGGAATAAAAACTGAATTGCAACCTCGTAGCGTCCTAGTTTCAATTACTGATACAAACACTACTCCAGCCTCCCAAGAACACGGCGAATCCAAACATCTGAGAATATCCGTGCAACAGAGTCAAAGCAGAGAGAGGGGGGGTGGTCAAAGACAGGGACGTACTTGGCTACGCGAACAGGGGAGAAGCGCGAGCGGCGGATTGGAGGATGAAGAGACGGGGAAGGAGCGCGGAAGCGAGGGGGCGAAAGACGGGAAGCAGTGGAGGCCGCCATTGCAATCTCCTCACTACGGTCGCTCGCGGCAAACGCAACGTGGTGGTGGTGGCGGAGGGGTGGAGGCAGACAGGCCACATCAGCACCGGGGCTGAGGCCTGTCGCTACTCGCTTAGGCAGTAGTAGTGTCTAGTGGCGTCCACCTTTTTACATGTCCGGGATAAACCTTTTATCATCATCGTCATGGCACTATAGAAGTCAGGATCTTCCTCTAGAGCCACAGATGGCCAACGGGCCGGCACGGCCCGATAGGGCACGGCACGGAAAGGGCCCATCGGGCCACCGAGCCGTGTCGCACCAGTCCATCGTGCCTGGCCGACGGTCCAGGCACGGCCTGTCGAGCAAATTTTACGTCTTGGGGGGGCCGATGAGCCCACCTTTTTAGCGGTCGGGTGGCCACCGAGGCCCACCAAATGCGATAGAGAGGAGGGGAGGCGAGAGTGAGGTGGCGGTGGCCCGGCCGGCTCCTCCCCGGTCGCTTGATGCCGGATCCGGTGAAGTAGTGGAGGGAGGCGAGTCCGTGATGCTGTAGAATGGGCGAGGGCGTAGAAGGCCGGATCGAGGCCGCTCCGCTCGAAGCTGCCGTAGGGGGACGCGGAGGAGGTGGCCAGACGCGTGGGGGTCGTGGAGGAGGCGGCCGTTGTCGTGCTCGACGTCGGCTATTGGGTCCGTCATACTTGACTTCAGCGTGGTCGAGGGACGGGGAGGAGCCGAGGAGGAGCGGGGTTGGTGCCGCGGAGGGGATGGAGGCCGCTCCGCTCGAAGCCGTCTTGAAGCGGAGGAGGCGGCAGCCACAACCCGACGCTGGGCAAGGGGCCAGGAGGCGGCGGCTGACGCCGCACTCGACACCGTCGCGTGGTGGAGGTGGAGCTCTGGACGCGGCGGCATGGGGATGGGGGAGGCGGAGTGAAATGGAGGTGGAGGCGGCGGCGTGGTCGAGGATGGGGGAGGCCGGATGGAGGGATTGTGGAGGCGGAGTGGAGTGGAGGTGGAGGTGGTGCCCAGGCGGCACAGCCTTCTTCCTCACTGCAGCCAAGCAAGTCGAGGACGGGGAGAAGCGGACCCGTGAGAGAGGGAAGGGATGCGAGAGGCGGCAGCGCGACGCGCGAGGACCCAAGGTGCGCGACTGCTCGAGTCAGAAGGGGAGGGCAACGGTGGCTATGGCGACTGATAGGGAGTCGGAGTTAGGGTTTGGAATTAGTATATGTTATGACTAGCGGGCCTCTATCGGGCCTAAAGCTTTTAGCGAGCCGTGCGTGCCACCACCACGTGCACAGGGTAAGGCCCAACACGGCCTGCTCCCGTGGCGCAGCGGTCCGGGCCGCTTCATTCTGCCGGGCGAGCCGAAAAAAAGCGGGCCTTGGGCCGGGCCGACGGGCTCGGGCTGCATGGCCAAATATATCTACAGCACCAGTTAGATCCAAATATCGTCTTGTTTGAACTTTCCATTATCGGCACGCGTAGCGCCCGAACGTTCGAACAAACAACGCGCGTCCAGACGTCCGTGTACACCGTTGCTCTGTCTCTGCTCGTGCACCCGTCCGCAGCCCCTCCGCTCCCACACACATGCACATGGGCCCAGCTTCCATCGGACGCCCCTCCCCTCTCGGCACGCCTGACACGCCCACCCCCACCCCCCATCCTTATTCGTTTGCTTCGCTCCCGCAGGCGCACCCCCACCCTGTTGTGCCCCCCGATGCGGGCACCCAGAGCGCCACGTGCCACGTCCACCAGCTCGCCGCGCCCCATTCCTCGGCGCCCCTGACTCTTCGAACAACAAGAAACATGTGCAACATGAAACACTTGAGTGCAACATACGTCTTAAACATATGAAACATCTGAAACATACAGTTGCAACATATGTGTGAAACACATATGCAACATCCAGATAGAACATTTGCAACTTGCAACATGAAAACACTTGTTGCAATAGAAGACTGAAACAGATGAAACATTTTGGAACATACTATTGCAACATATGTGTGGAACATATGCAACATTCAGATCAAACGCATGCAACAATACGTCTAGGAACAGATGAAACATTTTAAAGAGAGTGCTTGCAACATGCCTCTAAAACACTTGCAACATACGCAAGCATGTGCAACATCCTCGATCTACTTTTGCACCATCCATATGATTCAACTACAACATACCTCTAAAACGTCTGAAACAATTGAAACATACAATTGCAACATAGGAAGAGAGAGAGCCTAGCGCGGGGTGCGCCATGGCCGCCAGATCTGCGGGCATTGGGGCCTCCCGGTGGGGGAGGACACTAGTGTGGGGAGAGGGGCGCCGCCGAGGTGGGGGGAGGACGTCGGGGTGGGAGAAGGAGCCGCCGGTGTGGGGGAGGACGCCGGCGTGGGTAAAGGAGCCGCCGGTGTGGGTGAAGGAGCCGCCGGAGTGGGGGAGAAGGATGCCATGGTGGGGGAGGAGGATGCTAAGGTGGGTGAGGGCGCCACCACCGGCCAGGGGGAGCCAGCGGCACGCGGGACGAGAGGGGTGAGAGGCGCGCGAGCCACGGGGCGTGAGCGAGTGGATGGGGAGCAACGACATGGGATGGGGTGCGCAGCGTGGCGGAGCTTGGCGTCACGAGCCGACGCGCGTCGCGGGAGGGAGCGAGGCGGCATGGGAATTAGCGGACGGTGCGACAAGCGGATAAGGCCGTGGAGAGATGAGTAGAGGAGGACGCTTGGGTGTCGTAGCCAATCGTTATCTATTGCGTCCGGAAAAACGCCGGATGTTTGAGTCAGAGCATTATCGTTCCATTATATAGGGAATGTAACGTCTTAACGCTAGAGAAGATTTGCATTTCTATGGTTGTGTGGCCTAGGATTTTATCATCATTCACAACGCTAGTGTAATGTTAGGGTGCTAAACTAGGTTTGCATTTCTAGACCAAGACAAGATTGAGGGAGATGATTGATGAACATACCCATGGATTTGAGGATCACCAAACTCAAGCCCGTCAATTGAAGAAGTCCACACCGAACCACTGCAACACACATGGATTGAGGTCCATACATGGGCACCCAAACAAAGCCCTAGGGTGTTACTTGGTCCTTGACGGAGCTTCTTACTCGTACTTCTTTCTCCTCCTAAACTTGCGACTGGATTAAGTTGCCTTTTTCTTCAATTGGGGTGTACATCGTTCGGGAAGGCTTCTTGCTGAGATATAGGAGTGAGAGTTGTTGAATGGATTGGGGTCAAGCATGGTCCTACAGTCAGAGTTTGATCAGAGATTTCAAAAATTGTTTCACAGCGCTAGGGGGTTCTCCCTTCTACCTTGGCCGGGTTGATGATGAGGTGAAATCGACGAGTCGGCGGACCAAATACGATGATAAGGAGAGGTTTTTGGAGTTCACCGAGGTTTAGAGCTTAGAACATAGGGGTGATGTTTTTGTTTTGGGTTGCAAATGGGGGCTTTTTGCAAAGTTTTATTTGGAACGACGCTCGGGTCATGACAAGAGGGAAGGCATGTGCAATGAGCGTGGGAGGGCAGAAGGGGAGGTGAGGGCATTGGAAGTGTAGGGATGGGTGACGAGCTCGAGAGGCCAGAAGGGGAGATGATCACAAGGGGAGAGGGGAAGGGATGGGTGGCGAGGGTGGAGGTGTGTTGATGGTGGTTGATATGGGTAAATTCACCTACATCTAATTTTCTACTTCTAAAATATTCTCGTGCTCTCTTGTCTCGTATATAACCAGGATTCACAATCTGTTCTCGTACGGGTTAGAACAAGTTACGTCCATCAACGGTATATAGTTCAATTCCAAAACGCAGGATTTTGTTGCAACACATAAACACATGTGATATAGTTTATACGAGTTATATATGTGCTACATATTATGCATGCAGTCAGAAAATTCATGAACCCGGTTCAATTTCATCACATATAATAAAAAAAATTATATAAGTTGTCGTTGTTGTTGTGCTAAGAAAAAAAATTCGAAAATACGTGGATTTCCCTAAACAAGGGGCTCGTGAGTCGTGAAGGAGAGCCGAGCGCTTTAGGATTCGCGCGAGCTCGATCAGCGCCCACCCACCAGGAGCCAGGCCACACGGCGTCTCTTACCCCAGAGGCCATTTACCGACGCGGCGATTCCGATCACCCACCACCGCTGCCTGCGGTCCTCCTCTCGCCGCCGGCACCGGGGCTAGCCCGTCGGGGATCCATGTCGCGGTCCTTGAGCATGAGGGGGAGCATGAGGTCGCGCCGCGACCTGCCTCTTCCCGAGAAGGTGAGGGATTCCCTCTCCCCGTTCATCCCTTTCCTTCCTTGGGCTTCTGCTCGGCCCCCGCGGGTGAGGCGAGCACGCCCGCATTAGTGTCTTTCGGGCGTGTGCGCGATGGGCGAGTTGGATCTCGGGGAACCAACGTCTGCCCCCCCGGGGCATCGCCTCTCATGGCCAATTTGTTGGAACTAGGGTTGATGAAGACCTCCAATGCACGGTGACGCGGGCACGCATTCGAGAGGACAAAAATTCAATAATGATGCTGAGTTTCACTTGGTTGAATCCAGTTGTCTGCACAAGAGATACTGCACACTTTTCTCAATCAATTGAAAAAAGGAAGCAATGAGTAGTCCTGTATATAATATTAAGATCCCAACGTTGATGCTTTTATCACCAGAATTACCATATCATAGCAACCTAACAACCATATTTGATGATTTCTCTTCCCCAAGCTTGGCGCCATTTACTCGAACAAAACTAAGCACAATTTTTACCTCGAAACCAGAATTCTTTTATGCAATTTCACTGCACCCTTTTAGCATTAGCTGTTATGTGAGCTTGTGCTTCCTTGGCAGCATTAAGTTGTATTTTAGGCACATGTCCTGTAGAATTTTACTCAATTAATTAATAATTGTGAATTATGTTTCTCAGACAATTGAAAGGCTTGGGAGTATGGTGGCTGGAGGGAATTTCTATGAAGCTCAACAAATGTACAAGTCAACCAGTGCAAGGTACTATGTATATTATGTAACTTAATAACAAATGGTTGGCTCCCTTTGTTCCTCTTGTTGCACAATTTCAACAGCCTTATGTTTCAGTCTATTTAAGAGTTTCTTAGTACATGATGGAGATCAACCTTACACACCATTATTACTTTAAGTTGACTCCCTGAGCAAGAGCTGAATCGGTTTGTTATTTGTTATTAGTTTGGCTCATATAGCATCTTAAAGGTACTCATGTCAGGACATACCTATAGAACATTTCAAGTAAAAGAAAGAACAAAAACTTTGCATTGTGGACAAATGTTATTCACACATGAAATGCCCATGTTTCTTAAGCCAGAAGGATAGTGCAGATTAGGTTGGGTAATTTAGGAAAGAATTTTATTTGAAGGTGTTTATGTAATTTGATTCAACAGGGTGCGAAACAGTGCGGTTTTCAAGGATCAAAATGTATCAGATAATTAGAAAAATAAATAGCCGAAAATGATGCGTAAATTTTACCAGAATTAGCCAAGGGAGAATGTAGTCTCAGGGATCACAATATACCAACACTTAGTAGACCATCTTAACTTGTTTTGACACATCTTGTGTAGATATATTACTGCTCAGAAGTATTCAGAAGCCTTGGACATCCTTCAATCAGGCACTTTGGTACAATTGAAGCATGGACAGGTTACTTTCTTGTGATAGTGCAAGTTAACAAATATTGTTAGCAGCTGATGTCATCCATCAATTTATACCAAGAATATTTATTGATTTGATCTCATTACGAGTTTTCCTAATTTTTATGTAGGAATTACCCAACTGCACAATTTTCTTCAACTTTTTCCCATTTAGGGGATGCAGAATCAAAAAGGAAAAAAACAGCTTAAGCTAGATTATTTTATGCATGCAGTTTCTTCCTCTGCGGCAAGCCGTTAATGTTTCCTGTGTTTATTTTTCCTTCTTTTTTTGCACTCCCGAAATAATTTATAAAACAGACTCTACAAATGCCCATTCCATTTTGCTCTTTAATTGGAAACAGATGTTATTGTAGCACAGACTACCTTGCTGTACTATAGCGAGGTGCTTTGGATTTTCGGGATAAATGGTAGAGCACTAGTTTTGCTGTTAACTGCTTATGTACTTGTGTCAACCTGAACTGCATTTGGACCCAATCCATGGTAGAAGCCACATTGCAGCAGCATGTAGAACTTTGAAATCCTTCATTTTCCTTACTGGTAAAAGATTCCGTTGTGTTTATATTATTATCAACAATTCCAGGTTACCTGTGGTGGTGAACTTGCTGTCCTCTTTGTTGACACCCTCATCACAGGAGAGCTTGCATATAGTGAACAAATTTTTGGTCAGTTTTTTTTTTTATATATAAAGAAGCACAATACATAAGTTCCTTCTGCTGATCATCCCAATATTTCCTATTGTTTCAGTTTGTTTTTCCTTCAATTATCTAGCCAATCCATTTGTACAGTATATCATTTTTTTTGTTACTCCTAGCTTCGTGCAAAATATTGAAGAGCCTAAAATATTGTTGAAAGCAGTGACCCTTGTCCTTTAGTGCCAAATTTGATTTTAGCATAGTTAGTTCTCTCTTTTTTTTTTCTCTCTTTACATACAGAAAGTTTTGTTGGCCCTCTTATGGTTCTGCATGAACTGAATAAAACAATCCCCTTCTAGTAAATTGATGCATGCAATAAATTCGGTTGATAGATATCACATTTTGTGATAGTAACTATATTGTGTCACATTAGATCGTATCAGAAAGATATATGAGGCATTCCCAAGGATAACTGTTCCACATTTCCTTGGAGATGACTATGATGATGAAGGGCATCAATTATCTGAAGCTATTTCTGCTGCCAAAGTGCGTGCAGAGAGTTGTTCATCATTCCTGAAAGCTGCGATCAGGTAGGGTTACACTAATTTTATTCAATGCAAGTAACAATAAACAAATGTTTGCCATTAAAGCATCAAATTGTTTCCAAACTTATGTGCATAACCTAGCAGATAGCATCAATGAGTTATTGGGATTATAGTGATAGGGTAATGCATGGTTCTGACTCATTTGCTCTCGTTTCATATGAAAATTCGGAATCATCTGACTGGTTAAGTCAAAAGGTAAAGAATAAAGATAGTTTTCCATAATATTGCTCTCATTTCACGTGTTTTATTGAGACTTTCAATAGTTGATCATGATGTTATGGTTTCTAGAGTTGGTCATGCTGTTATTTCAAGATGAAATATTGAAATGTGGCTTATGCTAAAATATTGTGTGGTTTTGACACTGCAATACGAATTACGATTGTTATTTCCATTCTTACTCTGTTACTGAGCTTTATGATGGTTCTCCCTCTTATCAAGGTGCTGTCTTCATACGACACTAATAATGTTTTTTTTAAGGTGGTCTGCTGAGTTTGGAACATCAAGAAATGGTTCTCCTGAGCTGCACGTTATGTTAGCAGAATACATATATTCGGAATCTCCAGAGACGGTAACTTGCTATAATTCATTGGCTAATAAGAATGTGGATGTCTTCTATATTGAAGCTTCAGCTCTTTTTATGAGTCACTGCTGTTGCTATAGTTTAGTGCTTTTGTGATTTTGCTCCAAGGTTTAATGTTTAGTACCTTGACTGCAGGACATGACTAAAGTCTCAAGTCATTTTGTACGCGGAAATGATCCAAAAAAGTTCGCTTCTATGCTGGTGAACTTTATGGGCAAGGTAGCGGTTTTGTTCTTAAATAAGTTTACATAGTGTGATAATCTAATCCTTTTTGTTGTGATATGCAGTGTTACCCTGGTGAAGATGATACTGCAATTGCACGTGGGGTTCTAATGTAAGATATCCTTCCATAATTTTTTCTTGGGATCGGGAGGATGTCCTTTCCATGTATGAGTGCAGATCTTCAGTGTATTGCAATGCAGGAAAGGTCTGGTTTCTGTTATATTTGCAGTGTTATTAGGTAGAGGTTAGCTAGACCATAATTAGAAACTGAACCTAGTTCGGTGGGAGTTGTGGGTGTACACTCCCTGCTTGAATTTGGCTGCCAATTTTTTATATTTACAATGATACCTAGTTCTTCATAGGTTGGTTGAGTTTTCTTTAATTAATCGGTACATGATTAACAACAACTACCTAGGTTATATTGTCTCGAATAAATATCCTGACATGTGATCCACAAATTCCCTTTGGCCTATGCCGAATGCAGAGAGTAGCAACTTCAGAGTAAACTAGACGGTTTCAATGGTGGGATACAAGTATATGTTATGATATTATTGTTGGGTAGAGAATAAGAGATATTCTGTTTCCTGACATAATATTCATTCCTTAAGGTACCTATCTCAAGGGAACCTGAGAGATGCGAATTTACTTATGGATGAGATGAAGGAACAACTAAAATCTGCTAACTCGGATTTCCCCAAAACAGACTTGATTCAGTTCATCAAATATCTTTTACCAACGTAAGTTTGTCCCCTATTCTTTCCGGATCTTTTATCAACGTAAGAATGTTCTCTCTTTCAGACTGGACAAATTGTTGCAGGAAAAGTGTTGCAGTTTTGGATGAATAGTTTTGAATTGGCAAAATGAGTAGATTGCCTAATTTGTGTGATCTTCCGACCTAAGATTCATGTCTTGCTCTTGATGAGTTGATTTAAAACAATTAGTAACAATTTAACTGATACGTTGATGTCCTGGTCCCTTCAAGAAAAAAACTAATTAAGGAGTGTGGATTCATATTCATATATATTTCTTGTGAATAGTTATGATCAAAGGCAAATTTTGTTTTTATTTTGATGTGTCTAAGGCTATAAAGTAAGTCAATATGCCAATTGGACAGGTGTAGCGCCTCTTTCTTTTCTTTTAGAATAGTTTCACTTCTCTCTTGACAACTTCATGGTGAGCTTTGGTTATTTTTTCTTTTTTTGGTTTAGTTCAAGCTGTTAGGTTTGTTTATTGATTTGCTACCGTGTCATGCTATGCTTTCTGAAGCATATAATAGTATTGCAGGAATTATATTTGAATGCCAGTATCACAAATCACTGATATCATGTTTTATTTTTTGCTCTCTTCTGTGGTATGTTGCCCCGTATTAAGAGATCAATAATTTGTTGATGTCCCAGGGTTCAGGGAAGGGATCATCCTCTTTAGCCAAAATATAGTTAAGCCAACATGTTGCTGTGGTTCAAAAATCATCACACAATCATGTATGCAGTACACAAGCTAAATAAACCTGCAAAAATTCAATCTCAAATTCATTTTTCATGTCGACATTCAAAAAACATGTGTTTTTAAGGCGAAATACAGTAGGGAAGCCGTTATGTGCATTTTATTTAAAAGGCAGAACCAAAGTTGCAGAAAAAGAAAGATAAAACCTGTGTTTTAAGGCAAAAAAACACAGGACAAAATTCATCTTCCAGAGTATTAGTATTACCAGGAAACGATGGGTAGTGAATTCCAAAATATTTGAAAAACACTACTGTCATCACGTGATGAACAGTGCCAGATTGACTGCTCTTCTATTTTGATTCTTGACAACTAGGATGAATTTGAAACTGAATTGTTGTAGCTATACTTAACTTTATGTGCACTACATACAATATTCCTTTGATGAATTTTTGAAGTATTGCTGCATGATGAATTCCACTAATGGGGATGCTCACACCCCTGGATACAAAATCTGCACTATTAAGATATTCGCTAGGTATTTTCTTTATAACAAACTGGTCCTGCACTTTGAACATATAAAAAAAAAACTCGGCCTGCGAGAGGTCAAGACCGCCCCCCGGGTATTGTGCTTAAGAAGGTCTTCTCACACAAATCGAGAAAATCCCTGAACCCTGCCCCATCCATACACACGGAACCGTAACCTGTGAGTGGGCTCTTGACCTGTGCCTCAGCCTGGGACAGACGAGGGGATTTTTTTTTAACCACAGCCTGAAATTCGCTCCCACGAGGAGTCGAACCCAGGACCTGAGGAGTGCCACCGAGGCTCTCTAACCAGATGGACTAGAGGCCCGTTGGCCACTTTGAACATATTAATGTCACCATATATGTTTTAAATGATCTTAATGGAACATTTCAAGTTGTTTCAAATTCTGACAATTTATATGTCATGGAATATATTATTTGTTTCCAGCACTCTAGCATTTGTAACATGTGACACTGTTTACAGGCTTGAGAGAGATGCTTACCCTCTTTTTAGGACACTTCGACAGAAGTATAAGACAAGTACAGATCGTGACCCTGTGTTTCAGGAGGTAGTGCCATTTCTCAAATATTTTGTTGCTCGCTAAGAATATCTGTTCAGCATCACATGTCATCTTTTACAACTGTAGCCATGAATTTGACAGGAACCAGGATATTATAGTTTAAAAAACTGGAAAAATATTGGTAATAATGTGCTTATGTAAAAGATTATTTTGGATCCTGTAGGAATCTGTTGAAAGTTAGCTGTATTTCTGGAACTAACTTGCTATCATAGTATCATGTCAAACTAGAAAATTTGCAAACTTTGGCAGCTTATGAGATTGCATGGTTGCATTTTGCAGTTACTGGACGAAATAGCTGCAAAATTTTACAATATACAGCGCCAGAACCCTTTAGAAGGACTTTTCAGCGAAATGTTCAAGGTAAGCCTTATCTTGTCTTGCCATAATTCTGCAGCCTGCAGGCACCAGCTGGTTTTAGCAAATTTTCTAGTTGGTGTGTGGCACCAGCTAGGCATCAGTAAATCTATTTAAAACATCAAATTCCTTGGTTTGTGGAGGCCACAGGATGATAACGCCTGATTTGAGGTCCAAGACTCCAAGATTTACTGATGTTATCCTCTACATTCTGCAGATATAATACCTGAGAAAAGAATTTTATGTCGATGCTTTCATCTAAACCATTGGCTGAAATAATACAATTGCTGCCACGGCAGCTCATGATCAACAAAGGTGCTTGCTCAACTATGAATGTCCAAGGCCATACATTTAGCATCATACTGCATGAAGATATATTACTTAGCTCTGCAGCAAAATCGTTGATTAGTCTCAGATTGTTACTGAGCATGTGTAATTGAATTTTTTTTCTATTACTTGATTCACTTTGTTGTCCTTGCCCTGTTCACTTTTGGAGATGTATCTTTTGTAACCCACAGATCAAAATGATAACCTATTTATATTCATTGATTTTAATATATGGTGTTATCAGTAAAATTAATTGAATCCTTCATCATTAGGAGGAAGAGCACTTAGATACATAGCTTTTGCTCTCTCGGTCTCTCTTGTGCAAGACACTTGGATCCTTGCTCTTGCTCAAAGGCAAAACGTTTTGACTTTTCTATATACATAGGTTTTGCTATCCACTTAGATATATACTATGTTTATAAATACATTGTAAAAGCGGTGTATCTATAAAAGCCAGAACATCTTACAAATTTTGAACGGAGGGAGTACAGTTTTTTTAATCACATGAAACCATACAATATTTTTTTATTGACATTATGCTAAGTTTATTTTGCATGCATTTCAATTCACTTTTAACACTGTACCACCAAGGCACAAACTAATGTGTTTGGTTTGTCCAAATGGGTGAGGTATGCAGCTGGGGTATATAGCATTAAACTAAAACTATAAAAAATGTTGATAGGAGCCTCAGCTCTGTGTTGGGCAATACTATGGTCAATCAGAATTTGAGCTAGTTTTTGACAGATGTAAGCAAAATCTTATTTACATGTACTATTCAGGGACGCATTATTGGTTTGGGACCAAAAGGAGACGGTGACTTCTTGATATGCCGATGGTTAGAGTCAACACAATGACAGTATTGTAATAATCACGACTATGCATAAGGCAATGTATGTTGCATCCCGACAGAGCTTATCCGGTGCAAGATGAAATGACACATTGGTTTTGACTTTGGGCTCTGTTGCAATGAAATGATGACGATCAAACTAAGACCTCCTTTAGTATAGGAATTTTGTAGGAATCAATTCAGTTTTCACAGCAAAAACGCTGGAACAGAAAAATAATTCCGTGTTCTAAAGGGGGGCCTAATTAAAGGAGATGGTGACTTCTGCATATGCCGATCATTAGAGCAACAACTTACACATATCTTAGCACGATTCATAAGTACCAGTCTTGGTAGATCCTCTTTATTTTATATATATATATATATATATATATATATATATATATATATATATATATATATATATATATATTTTTTTTGTTGTTATTGCTTTCACTTCTTACATCTTATACTCCAAAAACCACGCCCCTGCATCATCTCACTATCTAATTAAACAGCTAATAAGACCGTTATTTTGTTTCTCGTAATATAATCGCCGAGATATATATAGTTCGGGCCATCGACCGATCATGCATTAGCATTATGTATATATTTCTGTTTAGCTTCCAAGAAGAGCCAGCAGGAAGCTCCTGTAGTCCCCCGAGGTTTCCTTGGCGATGGCCTGTTCCAAGGTGCACGACGCCCTCTTCTGGAACGCGGCGCAGATGGCCCCCATGTCGTCCTTCTCCGCGTGCATCACCACCACCCTGGTCAGGCTATCCTCATCGGTCCCTGCAGACTCGCGCGTCGCGTTCCTCAGCACCTGCGTGCGTGCCTAATCCATCTCAGAATCGATCTTTTCAGCCAACACGTACAACGGCAACAATAATCAGTTCTGTTCAGTTCAACAACGACGACGATCATCGTCGACGACCACCGCCTCACCTTGGCGAAGTACTTGCTGGGATCCGCGACGCACCGCACCGCCTTCCGCAGCGCGCGGGGGTACCCCGTGGGGTCGTCCCCGCGCGGCAGCGCCTTGGTGACGCTGCCGCGGTGCTCGTCCTTGAAGCAGCCGAACGTGGCCCTGAGCTGCGCCTTGCTCCTGGTGCCCACCACCCTGATGAGCTCCTCGTGACCCCCCGCTGCCGCGCCGTTTCGCACAGCCTCGTGCACGATCTTCGCCTCTGATCGCGCTAGCTCCATGTCCACGTTGTCGTCGCCGTCGTACCTGTACGTGCTCACCAGCGCGAGCAGAAGCTGAACGAAGGTGACGTACGTACGAGGACAGGTTAGGTAGCTAGAAGGCCGGCACGACAAGGAGTGTCGTCGTCCAGGATGCTGGATGCATGGTGAACAAGTAAGCGAACTGCAGCTAGCTGCACGTACACTGCGAAGGTTGCCCGTGGCACGAGCGGCGACGTCTTCTTCCAGGGAGCGCCTGTACAGGGCATGGTATGCCTTCTTGACGGCCACGAGCTCCGCGGACGAGTTGGTGCACGCGACCTCCACGATCACCGGGTACTCCTCCTGGATGCATTCCGTTGCGGCGTTCGCCATCACAGCCTGCCTCTCGGCGGGGTCAAACATCCAGTGGTACACTGCTCTCTGCAAACGCATTAGCGGTCAGGCGAACTGAACTGACAAAAAATAAGCTCATCGGAGCAGGAGGGCAAATGCATGCACACTAATCTGAACCTCAAAATCGCCGGAGAGCTCTGACTGCAGGCGTTGGATTAGGCTCTCGCTGTACTTGTGTTCGTACTCCAGCGCGATCTGCTTCCTCTGGGTCGCGTCGCGGTGAGCTAAGATGGATATCACCGCCTGCTCGTCGGTGCCCCATCCTGAATGAACCACAAATATTTGAGCATGTTACGCGCGCTACAGTCAGAAAGATCAGGATTCAGGAGCAGCAGTAACCTTGGAACGCCTTCAAGAGAGCCGCGGCATCTTCAGCAGGAGAAGGGACAACTCGAGGAACAGTAAATGTTGCCATTTTTTTTCCACGATATGATGCTCTTTCCTTTCTCTCCAGATTGGTTTGTTAATCACCCCAACCTCCGGGTATTTATGGAGATGATATCTGACCGTTTGCTAGTGGGCATTGAATTGAAACCTTCAACAAATCGCATGTTAATAATCCAACTTTACTTCGTTTCTTCCAGTTAGTTTTAACTATGGTGAGTTTCAAAATTTGATGCCTGTGGGTTTCAAAATTTAATGCCTCATTAAACAAATATAAATCCTTCCGGCGTCTTTTGGAAGGAAACCGAAACTCCTTACAGATGGAACAATTAGTTCTGACCTCCAGTTCTTCAGACTAGAATTGTATTATCAGTAATGAATTCTTGATCATAGATGAACTGAATCCTCCTCGCTTATGTAATATTCTGATGTTGTAATGAGCTGATGCACTGCGGCAGCGCACATGCATGAATTTGATCAAACTTGGGTGAAGTCAGCACTCTGCGACAGACAGCAACGATGATGCACCGAACCGAAGTAAAATAAAATTTTCTTTTTTTTAGCAAGTATAAAATAAATTTCTTTTTTTTTGAGCAAGTATAAAATAAAATTTCTGAATTTTTTTGAGCAGCAAATAAAATTTCTGAATATGTGATCTTGAACTAAGGTTTTGGTAACCATGTCGTTACCATGGCTTGTTTTCAAAACTCTATCTGCTTAATGAAATATGCGCTACGGCGTGTTCTAAAAAAAAAAAAACTAAGGTGGGCCGTACCGAACCGACCGGGCCGAGCTTCACCGCGCCGAGCGACGCAAACGACGACGACGAGGCCTTGCGATCGATGCGTGCCCATCAACCGCCAAAGCCGTGGTAGGAAAAAGGCCAGGGTTTTCTAAAAAAAAAAAGGAAAAAACCCAGCGCGCACGACACCTTTCAGCGGCACACCGCGCCGGACGATGGCAGCCCAGCCACCTGCTGCCGTCCTCCCCCCACCTGTCCCTCGTAACGGCGTGTGACTCGCGCTGTCTGGCACTCTGGCACCAAGCACCGCTAGCCGCAAGAACCGTCGGGCAAGGCACCACCGCCACCGCCTTGCCGAGACAACACTTTTTTTTTTCTTTGAAATCTGCCGAGACAACACTTTATCTGACTGGATGATGTACCCACAGCACTTGAGCGCCGCTGATGCGTGATGACGACCGTATATGTTGAACAAATGTTGTAACTACGAATAAAACAAGGTGAATCGATACAACGACAGGGAATTTGGGGAAAAAAATGCGGGCATATAAAACTATCTTGGTTTGATTGGCACGAGAAGGAAACCGATGGTGATACAACAGAGGCTTTTCTTATAGGATTTATAAAATTGTAATATTGAGATTATAGATTGGTTTGTGTTGCCTGTGCCTATCAAAGAGCTCAGCCTTAATCTTCCAAAGATGCTCGCAAGAGTACGATATATGAACATCAAATTCGAAAGATATTGATAGAAGTAAGTGTATGCACGACATGTATGAGCACCTACGTCGGTACTGGTAAAAAGTAAAAGAGCATACAATACGATACGTACGTCCAAAATTGACGAAGGACACAAAAAAGATAGAGGAATGAGAAGGTGCGATAAAAATAGACAAGATGGCCACCTTAGTTCAACGTATCACTTAAATTGCCGAGATACATGTAAACAAGAGTCAGCTGATCTAGCTCAACTAGACGAAGCTAGTCTAGGGTTTCGAACCTCAACTTTAACATTCTTCTTCTTTAATCTGTCCGAGCATTGCTACCTTTTTGTCACGTAAAGGAAGACGCCTTGTAGCCTACTCGAGCATCTTTTGGATTCTTCGACGTTTCGAATTGGAGGGGCATTTTTATAGTTGACAGTTACGTTACTTCCTTCCTCACAACGGATGGGATGTTATGTATGGTATATCTTTTTGTTCGGTATCAACCAAATTTAGCCTATATACCTCTTTTTATGCAATTTGAAATGGCGGTAACCTATCCTAGTTCCTGAATCCACACAAGCCTAAGATCTACTCAATACATCCCAAATTGTAAGACGTTTGACTTTTTTGACACCAAGTTTGACCACTCGTCTTATTCAAAAATTTGTGTAAAATATCACTTCTTTTGTCGTGGTTTGGTTTATTAATAAAAATTCTTCAAGAATGACTTAAATTTGACTATATTTGCACAAATTTTTTGAATAAGACGAGTGGTCAAACTTGGGGGAAAAAAGTCAAACGTCTTACAATTTGAAATAGAGGGAGTACCATGCCATAATACTGTCCATCTGTGTCATCGTCAAGTAACTCAAATCGTGGACACAAATGCTCATGAGCATACAATGGGGTGGCCGTTAGCCACCGCAGGCCGCAGCATCCATGGTCAGCCAAAGGCCGCTGTAGTAGCTATCCAAAGGGTTTTCGTTTTTCTAATGGTGATGCCGAAAAAGCCATCCGGAGTTAGTTGCACGGACACGATGTTGTTTCTGTTAGAAAGAGATGGTACACTACTCGGACCCGGGGCGAGAAGCACGCGCGCGTGTTGGTGTTGGCAGGGCGGCGGGCGGATGCCGTATTTGCGGCTGGCTGGCGTGTAAACGCTTGCTGGCGCGGGGTGTTGTTTCACGTTTGACCCGCTCCGGCGCCCCGCGCCCGCCTGCAGCCTGCCAGATTAGCCGCACCGCGGTGGCGTCCACGTCAAAACCGAAGCGGCGGCAGCGTCAGAGGTGGGAAGGCTGGGGGTGGGACACCGACACCTGCCGCGTTACGAGGTGTGAGGTGGGAGAGGGAAGAGGGGGAGAGATCCAGGGGGGCGCGCCGGCCGTAGAAGATCTGGCTGCTGCCCAGACGAGAAACAACGAGGATACCACCGCCACCGCCACCGCCACAGAGAGAGGCGGCCAGGACAAGGCGGGCGGGAGGGACGACGAAATCTAGGCAGGGCGGCGGAGGAGCGGGGAGATCTCTCGCTCTTCCGTCCATGGAGCTGGGAGACGCCGCCGCCGCCGGCCAGGGAGCGCAAGGGGACGCCGCCTCCGGGGCCCTTGTCAGGTGAGCCGTCCTGTCCTCCTTAGTCCTTCCTTCCTTGCTCGGTGCTGGGTAGTCGTCGAGCATTGCTGCGCCGGCGCTGTGCGCCTGCCTGCCGCGGAATCGGTGCGTGCCTGGTGGGTTGGGCCGTTGGGTTTGTGTTTGGGTAGTGTTGTCGAGTCTCCTGCTGCTGACCTGGAGCTTGTCCATCTCGCTGCTGTGCTCGTTTGGCGGCGGATTTGGTAGACCAAATCTTCCACGGCTAGGAGTAGTTCCCGACACTATTTCATCCGATCTTCGTTTCCAAATATAGTCTTGTTTTTGTTAACTTCTAGCTTTCTCGGTGGAGAATTTTGTGAGATAGACATCTCGGGGGGAGAATTACGGTTCAAAATTATTTGGAGGCTGTGTCTCAGTGCTGAATTGGGCGAGACAGGCGATGCTGTCCCTGGGTAGCGGGTGTGGAAGTCTCTTGTGTTTATGGTGGTGCAGGTCCATGCCTTTCTTCCTGGAGTGCCATGGCAGCAGAAGAACTGCCTTGTGTGCACAGCATCTAAAACGACTCTCTCTTTCTTTTCAGCTTGGTTAGATTACTGCTGGCCCTTGGAGGAATCAACAGGGCTCGTTTACTTCTTTCCTTGAAGTGGATTAGATAGATGACCTTCTACATCTTATGATTTTCATTTGAGTGTTTCCGCTCCGGGCCTTATGAAATGATGAATGAATTGCCTTGTTGGGTCAGGAAGAAGAGGATGAGGAGGAAGAGCACTGGCCCTGACTCCATTGCCGAGACGATCAAGTGGTGGAAGGAGCAGAACCAGAAGCTGCAGGACGAGAGCGGCTCCAGGAAGGCGCCGGCCAAGGGTTCCAAGAAAGGGTGCATGGCGGGCAAAGGAGGGCCTGAGAACGTCAACTGCGTGTATCGCGGCGTGAGGCAGCGGACGTGGGGCAAGTGGGTGGCGGAGATCCGCGAGCCCAACCGTGGCCGGCGGCTATGGCTGGGCTCCTTCCCTACCGATGTGGAGGCTGCACATGCATACGATGAGGCGGCAAAGGCCATGTATGGCCCCAAGGCACGTGTCAACTTCTCGGAGAACTCTGCTGACGCCAACTCTGGCTGCACGTCGGCGCTTTCATTGCTGGCATCTAGTGTACCGGCTGCCACGTTGCAACGGTCTGATGAGAAAGTGGAGACTGAGGTGGAATCTGTGGAGACTGAGGTCCATGAGGTGAAAACAGAAGGGAATGATGACTTGGGAAGTGTCCACGTTGCCTGCAAGACCGTGGACGTCATTCAATCTGAGAAGAGTGTGTTACACAAAGAAGGGGAAGTAAGTTATGATTACTTCAACGTTGAAGAGGTGGTTGAGATGATAATTATAGAATTGAATGCTGATAAAAAATTGAAGCACATGAAGAATACCATGATGGAGATGATGGGTTTAGCCTTTTTGCATATTAGAAGCATGGTTATGGGGAGAAGTAGGAATAACTTCATTCTAGATGTTAGGAAAATGCTTCAACCTGAAGCGTTGTAGTCATTCGTGGTTTTCATCTTACTGAGACATAGCTTTATACTATGAGCCAACCGGTACAAGAAGTTGTCCTGTGTGTTGAGTTCCTGTACTATAGTAGGAAATGAGTCCATGTTTAATGAGCTCTCTTGGTTGTTAATATTGCACATTTGCTCGGCTGAACTCAAGTTAGGTCAAGAAAAGGAATGGTAAGTACAATCGAATAAATCTTTAGGATTGCATTAAATTGCAAAGCAGGCATATGAGCAAGTTATTTCATTGTAATGGTACATTCAGTTACAATAGAGTAATCATACTTTTGTGCCTCATACATGCATGGATTTTCAATGGTTATATCTCATACTGCTATACAATCATTCAGAGTAAAGTGATTTATGGAAACTTTGTAAGGGGAAGCTGCAGGCATTCTCTAAATTCAAGCCACCTTGTTTCGCTATGGAAGGTCCTTTGTTTGTTAGGCCAGTATGTTAGCCAAATCCAGCCTCGGATTTCCCAGTTCATAGTCTTTCCTAGTGTTGCACCACAGATCTTCCACCAGACACTATCTCCATACTCATCACGTGCAAAAATGACACCCCCCTGCTTTGTGAACGGGCGGTATGCATTTGAGTACCTGTCACGGAACCAGGCCCTTGGTTGAAGCAGAGAAAGCTTTGAAGGTTTTGAGGAATAAACCTCCCTTCCATTGACACCATCATGAAGAAACCAGTTCAAGGTTGCAGTGTTGCCATGCACAGACTGCTCAAATTTCCAGGGCTTCATGGCCAGTGTAAGGCTTTCAGTGACTGATGCCTTCAGACCAAATGAGTTTGGGGGATCAAAGGAACCCTCAAAGCCCTTCTCAAAACCAAATTCATGTGTGAGGTTGTCGTTGGACTTGCCGACAGAAACAGACAGTACATCAGATTGTTGCATAGGTGTGATTTGCAGCATGACACGAGATGGGAAGTGCTTCTCTTCAGAGCCATATCCACGTTCTGCCATGAGGGTCTCAGAGACCAAAGAGTCCACATCACACCTGTGATAGATGCCAAAAGTGAGTGCTGTCTGTTCCCTTTTATTTTGTTTTATTAGATAGTCCATGTATGTGGACAAATGTTTTTTTTTAATGAAGTTGCTTTCTACAGCTAATCATAGTCTGTGAAACAATGAACCACCATGAATTTCTAATGATTTTTAAATAGTGTTGGTTTATAGATTACATATGCTAATGAATTTCTAGACAGTTCTGGTGTAGACCACTCAAATGGGAGTTTTACTCTACTCTAAGATCTATATTGTTCCTAGTTAACAACATTTTACAAAAATATACATGATTCCTTACTCCATGTCAATTTACTTTAGTGTAGAAAGTGACTATATTTTGACATGTCTAGGTTTTATTTGTTATCTAATGATCTAGCTTTGATGCCAACTTATGCAGATACACTTTACAGGGTACCACTAAAATTGAACTATTCTTTGGCCTTTGTACTAAAAAAAAAAAGTTGTTATTGCTACCTCAGGAAAAAGAACGGAAACTTGATTGTGAGTTCATGTAATAGAAAGAACTGGTTCTTATATGTTAAAATAACTGACCTTATGTTGTCTACCTTCACCTCGACATCAATCCAGTTATCCCTTCTTACTGTTCTATAAGCTAGCTGAATCACACATTCAACCTGCTGATAAATGAGTGAGAAGAGAAGGCGCTCATCCTGTGTTGCTTCTGCAGGTTCCTCCATGCCCATGGCTATGACTGGGCAGTACAGCTGCACCTTCCAGAGCCCGCTTGCTGAGAGGGCATATGAGAACAGCGGCGATGATACCCCAGATGACTGGTTTGCGGATCTCAGCTCAACGATCCAGTTAGTTACTGCGAGATTCATTGTCTGCATCCACTGGTCCTCAAGGTTTGCCCCAAGCATCTTTACAAGGTTCTTTGCGGCATCTCTGCACTTTGAACCAGTAAGCTGGATTCTCAGTGAATCCAAGCATCCAGGACGGAGATCACGAGGAGACTCGTAGATGCACACCAGGAAGGCCAGGGACAAGAAAACTATGTTGAACACGTCCTTGAAGTTGGCATGAGGCTGTGCCCCAGGGAACCGAAATGACAATTTTTTGTCTGGACAATACCTCATCACTGAGTTGACAATGTCAACGAAGACCTGTATCATATCTTGTTCATCTAGAGTTTGCTGTGTCTTTGTCTTCAGATGGACTGGTTTTGACGTCCACAGGGAAACTGACACACTGTAGTTTGCAAAGATGGAGAAGGTAACATAAGAAGGCTGGGGGATGGAAGGGTTTTTCACAATCGAGAGGTTCATTGATGGCTGTGATGACGCTGATGATGATGGTGTGGTGCAAATGCAAAGGGACATGGCGCTGGTGCGCCAATGGGTGAATGGGGGCAGGCTGGTGATCCAAGCCCAGGCATCAGGCACAAAGTTGGAGGCCATTGCTCTAGTGCTGGAAACTTAAGCTGGTGGTTTGATGATCGATGAGGGGAATAGGTAGATTTTATAGAGGACGAAGGCAATGTTTTTGGGATAGAATTCTGGTCGACGATGATTGAGTCCAGTAAGGCCCGGCAAAGTTTCGGGTAAAGCAGATTCTCGGTTTGAAGATGGGTGTCTGAGTTGAAGAATTTCTGTTGTCAATTGGACCTTGAGGAATCTCCCTTTTATACTTCCGTGCTGAGCCAAGGGTAAATCGGTGCAACATATTTCTGCTCAAGTTGGTGCCTTATGCTGCAGTGAAGAAAACAGTGTGATTTTAAATAAGAAAGCTGGGGAAAGCGCGATGCTAATCGCATAAACTAGGGTAAGTTGGTGCCTTATGCTGCAGTGAAGAAACAGTGTGATTTTAAATAAGAAAGCTGGGGAAAGCGCGATGCTAATCGCATAAACTAGGGTGGATCCTGGATAATTGCTTGCAGTGAGAACGACACGAAGGTGTTGGTTTATTTGGTGTGTACGTCTGAAGGAGTCCACTGTTGATTTATTTGGATTCTGCCGTTCTGGACGATGAATTGATGTGCTAGCCTTGTACGGGAACCTTGCGCTGTCGATTGGTAATCGGAAGAATATTTTTTTTCTTTGCTTTCGTGAGGTTTCAGAATTTAAACACCAATCGCTTATCGGTTGTCTAACCGCCCAATTAGTCCTCATCGGTTGTCTAACCGCCCAATTAGTCCTCAAGTTCCATTTTCATCCTCAAGTTCCATTTTCATCCATACGTAAGACCAATTCCAACAGCTCGGCTATTAAAGTATGCTCTAACAAATGTGCTATTTGACTTTGCAAAATAGAAAGCTGACTATCTTTTAATTTCATGTGGTCATATAAAGCCAACCATCGACTCTAGCTATCTAAAAATAAAAAATAGTAAGGCTGACAAAATGACTAAACTATAGAATTTAGCTACTAATTTTAGCTAAGCTATTGGAGTTGCTCACAGCTAACATTTGGGAATGAGAGAAATCCCTTTTATGCTAAGATAACCAGCCCTCATCAGGCTAACGAAAAACTTAGAAACACGCAACGCAATCGGGCATCTTTGGAAAGAATGGCTGAACTGATCAAGGCTTAACTAACCCTGTGAAATCTCGCACAAGCAACAGGTCCGCAGTCGCACCGCATCTTTGCTCCTACGATAGGCAGTTTGGCGGGCCAAATCCCTAGAGTTAGGACCATATTCCTTGCTTAGCAGCGTTGCACTCCGTTCACCAACTCAATGCATTGCCGCAGAGTCCGATTCCACCAACCGATCGCACTATATATGAAAAGAATAGAGATGCTACCAGTTCACCGGACAAGAGCGATTCCCTTGCAACAATCATATCCACTGGCTGCCAATTAGAGCTGCCAGAGCTAGCTAGATTGCTACCATCAGCATTCAGCAATTACGGAGCAAGAAATAATGCTCTAAGGAGCGTGTCTCGAATGCTGTAAGGAGCTCGGCATGTACATTTGAACTCCCCAAAATACTCATGAACCCTCAACAATTCAGTAGACCGCCTCATCACCTATACCATATCTAGTTTCTCAAAAGGCAAGCAGCAGTAGACTGCCTGAACGTTACACAACAGAACATGCTACTGTGGCCTCAACCATTTGGTGGCATTCTGTGATTGTCAATTCCGAAATGCACTACCAGAAAAATAGGTGGCCTTGTCTTATACTCCTTCCGTCCCCAAATAAATCAACTTTTAGAGTTGTCCTAAATCAAACTTTTGTAAGGTTGACCAATTTTATAGGAAAGAATATTAACATCTATGACACTAAATGAGTACACTATGAAAATATATTTCATGGTGTATCCAATATTTTTGTGTCAAAAATACTGGTCTATAAATTCAATCAAACTTGCAAAAGTTTGACTCAAGACAACTCTAAAAGTTGATTTATCCACGAACGAAAATAGTATAAGTAGGGGCAGAAGGAGGAGCAAAATTTTCTCAACCCAGTGACTGTTTTGGGAAGAAGGTATACCCTGACCAATGTGTAGAACCAGCAAGAGGGCAAAGGCTGCAAAACCATAACTCTGTTCCAAAAATTGGTAAGCTATGAGATCTGTGGTCCTGTCAAACGGTGATAGCGCAGGCAAAGGCCCTCCTCCCAATGGATCTGCAGCCAGAGATCGACCAGCCTTGCCTCTCATTGTAAACTTCAGCCTGCATGAAAACAGCACCAGAAGAAATTCAAGAATCCAACAAGTCCAGGGAAAATAAATCATGGGAGAATAACAACCAACAGACTTACAGTCTCGATAGTTTCTCCAGCATCATTGACCCCACCAACGAGGTACAGATTATCATTCATTGTCACCGCACATCCGTATCCTCTTGCGATGCTGGATGAACTGCCTATCCTCCATGAATTGGCACGCGGATCAAAGATTTCTACAGTGGAAATCTTGCTGTTTCCATCATACCCTCCCACAGCGAATCTGAAACATAAGCTATCCTGTTTCAGTGTACACAACAATGAGGCAGATTATGCAAGTCTTGGGTTGCAAGGAGGTCATAGGATGGAGATGGAGAGAAAGAGTCTCGGAACTCACAAGGATTCCCTCATGACAGCTACGGAGTGGGATCCTCTTCTTGCACTCATACTTGGAAGCAGAGTCCAGAAACCTTCCCTTGGGTCATATCTTTCTGCTGATCTGTGTATTACCATCATTTTGTCAATAGCAAAGTAAAAAGACATCTAAATCATAATCATAATACTGAAAGAATGGTCAAGGATCATACTGTAAGTACGTGTTGCCATCATAACCACCAGTTACATAGAGTGTACCACTTAATATGGCTGCAGCAGGAGCAAATCTCTGGAACAACATATATATATATAACAAACAAAAGCAAAAATTGAGTTCTAAATCAAACCATCGTGGGTAAACTAGATAACACTGTTGACCCTGGATCTCCTTGCACAGGTGAGCAGCTAGCTCACCAACACCCTCACACACACCCTGTTTGACGAGATTTTGTACAAAATTTCACTAGTATGCATGTACATCTATACGTGCTATTGAAAATAATAGTAAAAGGAAAAAAAAAACATGAATCAAATTGCATTGGGCCATGATGAGCTAATGCATAGTGCGCATGTTTATTTACGTGTGCTGGAAAAGAAAGAAGCTAACACGTTACTATGCCGTGCATGCATGCATACGTGTTGACATGCAATAGAAGAAGTTAGCAAGTATGTATACGTCCATGTGTGGTATACACTTCTCAAATACGGCGGAGCTCAAACGCCTTTAATTAGCAAGCGATCAAAGCCCACCAGGCAGCCATACAGCACATGGCGTCTGTGTACTGGGGGGTCGAATTCAGATCCTGTGCGTATTATACGGCGTATAGGTGAAGCCGTGTATGGAGTACGATCTTGTACCTCAACCACAGTCCAGCCCGGTGAATTTTTGGGCCGGCGGATGGGAAGTCCAAACCAGAATCCTTCTAGAAGCGTTATCACAAGGGATAATTGCGGCACGTGGATGCTTCACCCGGCGTACGAAGGAAGGAGCGGCTCTGGGTATGTTGCGCTCGCCAACATATTTTAGGTGGCGCGTGCGTGAGGCCAGGAGTTCCGCTGCTACCCTAGCTGCTGTCTATATAAAGGACCCTCAGGTCATCACGGAGAAGATTAATCACGCCCGGCCGATCGGAGGCAGCCGCCACCAGGCGCTATCCATTCATAGGCTCGAGCGGATCGACGAAGGAAGGCGGCCGCGGCGCCAGAGCATGACCGCCGCCGCGACACTAGCGGCCAAGATCATCACCGAGGCAGCCGGTCTACCAGCACCATCCAGATGACATGATGGGATCGAGACGGACCCGGTATGAGCCGCCGGCCGAGATCGAAAAAAGCGAAGGCAGCCGCCTCGCCGTTTTCCGTCGCCAAAAAGGCTTGGCCGGCTAATCACAAAGCGCCAAGACGAGCTCCTCTCGTGAGGAGCGGCCGCTAGTAGCCCCGCAAGCACGAGTAGACGGGCTCGCCGGCACGGACCGGCGCCATCAATGCGAGATGAGCGCGCCGTGCGGAAGATGGAAAAGGTGGCCACGGCACGGCACCAGCCACCTCTATCCGTAGAGCGCATCTATGATCGGCAGCGGCGTTCCCTCGCCCACGCTCATCTACGCATTAACCAACCGTGTCGTCGGAGGAGATCAACGTTGTCTCAGACGACCACCGCCGGTAGGAGGCGGTCGGCTGTCATCGGCCCGTTACGTCCAGCGAACAGCGCGAGACTTTCATCCGATTATGCGTTCAATCGGAGAAGAAGAAGGCGTCCTTGAGACGGCTCCATGTGAGGATCGGGAACGCCGCCAGACAGCACCCATGTCGGTTCAGGTCCACCGCAGCGCGTGGCGACATCTGCTCTAGTGCTCGCTCATCGACGGCGTGAGTGGCCCGCAGCGCACTCTCTGCTGCAGACCGTCGCCGAAGGATCGTCGGCCCGCGGCGGCGGCGTTTGAACACATATATGAGTAGAGGTGCGCTTGTATATAGGTGCATGCATGCAGGACAACAAGGGCGTCGGCGAGCCAAGGCGATTTCCGGCCGTGGTACGTGGCTCCTTCATCGCTGCGCCAAGCGATCCGGATCTTGTCGACGATGGCTCCACAACCGCCGCCGCAGCCCGCGACCGAGGAGGCGAACCCGGACACCGTCGATGACGGCTCCACACTGCAAGATTAACGCCGCCTCCGCGCCACGGAGGCGCAGCCCGACGCCATCGACGACGGCTCGCTTTACACCATAACAACGCCGCCGCACCCGAGAGGTGAGTCGGATGGCTCAGCCGCGCACAACAAGCGGCGGTTGATCGATTTAACGCCCGTGCCATCTACATCACATGCGACGAGGCTACTCAAGCGCCGCGCCGTCGAGATCAACGGCGGGTGCTACACCCACATGCATGCTTACATGCAAACTAACAATGCCATCTACATCACATCATGACGCTGGGGCTACTCCAGCCGCGCCCGTCGAGAGATCAACGGCGAGGTGCTACGCCCACATGCGTGCTTACATGCAAACTAACAAGCGGGAGGTACCAACTACCATCTCGGCCAAGCGCATATATACATGTATATACGTTAATGCGTGCATGCGCTTGAATTACCTCTATTAAGGAATGTGTGCCTTGCATAAGAAAACTACAAGCAAAGCAAACCATAGGGAGCTCGGTGTCATTCGAGCCTGGATCAAATTTGTATAATTTTATTATCTTTTGTGTATCGTGCCGGTGGCGAAGTCGATAGTCTAGCTGCGCTTACACCGACTCATAGGTCGGGCGAGGCCTTCTTCAACAATCCCACTTTGTGATCAAGTTCTCTGACAGCACACGCACGATCTTCAGCCAAGAAGTCCGAAGCGATCCAAGCTACACCAACCATGTAAGTGCGACTACGATGACACCACGTGCCGTTCGACACGGACGAGGCGAACAACGCAGGCGGACATGGCTGATATTCCAGCCATGTTGTACCGGCTCATGAACGACGAGGCCCTTACGCCAACGCCACCCACATCTACACCAACACCATGCATGGAGACGTGAAGCGAAGATTGAAGATGACGACCACAGCAGCAGAATCAGAGGTACTCCGTGAGCTACCTCACGGGGGTAATTAACTAGCAGCCTTCCGAGGCCCCAGGACCCATGAAGACCACGATCGCCCAAGTTAGATCGCCGCTGGCAGGCTATGGAGCGCATCTTGTTTTAGGAACTTGTATTTGTTAACTCATGGTTAATTAATAAAATACTCGTTCCTCTCTTTATTTTTGTGTACTTAGTACACTGGCACGCCCGCACCCCTTTCCCACACGAGAAGCCGCTTAAGGCGGATTTTCTGGTGTCCAAACACACCCACAGCTAGAGGTAGAAGAAGGGGTGACAACAGAGCGCAGACACACCACGAGAACAGCACTGAAACTCTGAATGTGTGTTCAATTGAACTGGTTTTCTCCTTGTATTGCCTAGTGAATATATGCACGAGTGTAGAGGTGAGTACACCAACTACAATGTCCTCTAGGACATGGCTGAGATCAGCCTTACCAACTATGTATGGCTGAGGTAAGCCACTACTACTAGTGGCCTATTGCCACTTCTAAGTGTACAGACTAGTACAAGGAGGCGATGGCCTATTGCCATACCTCTACAGAAGCTAGCAAGAGCTGACCGAAATGGTTCAAACTCTGCTGCAGCAAAAAGCTGGAGAGGGAGAGCAGCAGATTATCTCACAAACACAAAACAATTAAGTCATGGACACATGCAGATGATCCTTATCCTACAGACACAAAATCACATGAAATAGCGCCCAATTATCTCCAGCAAATACGCTCACGCATTGCAATTTGATGCATACTCCCTTCCACTCACAAATTAGTAAATGTTTTGGGGTTGTCTTAAGTCAACCATTTCAAGCTTTTGTCGCATGTTACTTTTTAAATGTTGAGTTTGGATATTTGAGAATGCTAACAGTAGATTTATCTCAAAATGTAGTTTCATAAAAATGAACCTCTTCTATATTTTACAAATACTTCATAATAAGAAGTACTAGTCAAAGTTGTGTTTTGCAGACCATGTCAATGCCCAAATCATCACTTATTTGTGACTGGATGGAGTAGGAGTAGTTTGATATAGACTGGAAAAATATTTGTGAAAAATATGTACGATATATGTTATTAGTTCCAAAAGAAACTACATTAAATTAGAGATATGTAGAACTACTTCCATATAATATACACACTCACCATCCCAATGCTTAAACAGCTATCCATATTCTAATGCAGTTGATAATTACTGATCTTACTATAAGAATGAACACTGCTTTGCCAATTTATGACAAGCAAACAATAATAAAATAATATGACTACCTATTGCAAAAGCTTGCTTCTTCTTGTGATCTGGAACTTTTAGCTACAGAGTTCAAACAATTTCTCCCTATAACATTTCCTTTTTAAATTTTGCTCCATTATATGGATCCTGAACCTTGTTAACCATAACACGAGAATAAAGAATGGACTAGTAGGGAAGCCATCAATAAGTCATTCTAGCTTTGTCCTGAGTCAAGCTACTGTAGTTTGACCAAGTTTGTAGAAAAATGCACAAACAACAACACCAAACTAGATTCATAAGGTACATCATAACATATATTTTGATAGTGTATTTGTATGATATTGTAGATATTAGTATATTTTTCTATAAACTTGGTCAAAGTTAGACAAGTTTGACTTAGGACAAAGCTAGAACGACTTACAATTTGGAACAGAGTGAGTAGTTTAGAACATTCTACTCTATATCCAACAAACTAAATGTGATAGGAAGTGTGAGACTGTGAGACCATACCTTTTGCCGCATTGACACACTGTCTATCCACCTCCCAAGTGCTGGATCAAACATCTCAACTTCTGAGAAAACTGCAGACCCATCTCCACCACCAATAGCAAATATTTTATCATTCAATGTAGTTCCAGCAAGGCTTCCTTTTGCATGTTTCAAGCGGGGGCATGTTATCCATTTATTACTGCCCATAATGTAGCATTCCACTTCAATAAAAGGAATGCAGATAGTCAACAGCTTGGAACTTATATAAAACACTTGATCATGTTAGAACATTTACCTGTGTGATACCATGAACTGCCATCCCCACCACCAAAAATATAGAGATGATCCTTCAATGCAGTTACTGCTGCATATGCACGGGCTGAGCTCATTGAACACAGAGGCACTACTCTGTCTGTCTTAGGGCAAAAGGAATCTAGTGATGACAGGCAAGTACTGCCCCTGTAGCCACCTATTAGGAATATTGATGGTCCTTCCATATTATCATGTGGACTACCAAGGAGTGGGACCAAAGAGTTATAGTTTGATTGTAGTTTCTCATAGTGGTATTCCAGTTCCTGAATTCTTCTTCCTGTGTCCTTCATCGATTCCCTCAGAAACAGTATTTCTTTATCTGACTCAAACTGGTAGATAGAAGAACCACAATTAGGAGGGAGATTGCACATATACCATGCATCAATACCACATAACTCGGCATCAACCACATCTACAAGGTACACATATCATATGTAATTCCATAATTCTATTGAACATCTGAGCTAACTTCAAAATCCAAATAACCACAGATATGCCAATGCAGATCCGGAGCCAATGAGGAAAGTAAAATAATCTATCTATTTATACTCTAATGGATAATAATGCTTTCATTTTTCCACCTAAACGGTCAAGAAGAGCAGTACCAGTTTTTTCTCCATTGCTTGGTTCCTCTTGGATAACTCTTTGACGATGTGAAGCAGCTACAGACAACAAGACATATCAGATAGGACTGCCATAGCAAACATTACAAATAATACAGTTGAAAATATGGAGCGTAATCCGAAAGTAATTTCTGTGAAAGAGAAAGCAATAGAATGGAATAGCTTAAAGCACCTCAGCATTTCCACGAGATTGCCCTAATGATTTCAGGTCTTCAATACGTACATCACCCTTTGAGGTGGAATCAGATGGGTCTGTGGGGAGTGTGGCATCAAACTGTGGTTCTTGAGGCATTGGTTTATTTGAAGCAGAATCAACAGTGTCCTTGGAGGATTGAGCCTCCTGCTGTCGTAAAACAGACATCTCTTGTAGTTTCTGCCTAACAGCCACTGTGCCATACTGTTCATTATGTTGTGGATTAATATGTGGATGGTCATCATTGACAAATTCAGTTCCTTCCTTGGTCGCAACATCATCTAAATCATCCCAGTTAGAAGACTCATCGTCAAGGTGGCTTGTTGATATTCTACTCGCACTAGCATATTCACCATCTGGATCAACCAACTTGTACGGGTCAATACAATGAGATTCAGAAGAAACATCAAATGGATTGAGATCCTTTATATAGGACTCAGGCTTCGCATGACCAGGATTAACATATGCTTCGACTGTTGGAGATTGCATAGATCTGGAAGGATCCCATTTGTTTGGAACATCATGAACAGGGGCAGGCTTAAACAAAGATATCAAAGCTCTTGTTTGTTCATGGTCTAGTTCAAAGAAGAAGTGACGAGGTCTGTAATAATTGCCACGGATCACACTTTGGAATTGAGACTCTGGAACTGGAAAGCAGTGAGTCTTCATGGAGACGAGGACCTTCAAAATACACAAGTCACTCACGAGTCAGTAAGCTTATGAACCTATGACCAGATTAACCATACATACATGGGTATGGTGCTGCATAAATGGAAGGATTCTTATTTGATGATACCTGTGCAGGAAATTGTGTCTTTATTCTACCACCATCACTCCAAGCAAATTGATCAATGTTAAGCTTGCCAGCACATGCAGCCTCATAAATTCCATGCATTTTTCGGTCACTATAATTGAACAGAAATAGGGGCATGCCAGGTTTAACATTCTTCACATATGAGAAATGGCTTGAAGGCAAACCTATTGAACAAAATACTGACGAGAAGTCAATGTTCCAAAAAGCTAAGAACTGATGTGAGGATGACAGTTTATAGTTTTATGGGGGAGATGATTTAATTGCAGTAGCGGCGTTGCATTATAAGGTGGAAAAGGAATTGCTAGTTAAGAAAAAGGTGGAAAGGAATTTACTAACCAAACAGCTGTTTAGAGAGGCATTCATTCATGGTGTTATGTTTGCAGCCAAAAATCACTCCTCCTAGCTCATCTTCCCGAAGATTACGGGCAGCAACAGAAAAGGCTCCATACCATTCATTGCTTCGATTTTGTGTCTGTGCACTTGGTGTTGCAGCATAGAAAGTTTCAGTCTTCCTTCCAGCACCCATTCTTTGGAAATCATGAAAAAACGTGCAAAATGGCAACATTAATATGCATACAGCATACATGCAGGGGCAAGTTGGACAAACAAAATCGTTACTGAGATAATTCACCATAGGTAGCAACACAGAGTAATATGGAGTAATAAATGTCTAAAAATATATTTGGAACCAGTAATACACTAGGACCACGAAGCCACCAAGGAGAAGCAAAGGGCAGATAAAAAGGGAAGTAATGTACAGAACATCTACTAACAGGAAAGTGGAAAAGAAAATCTAAAGAATCATGGACTCCCAGTTACTAGTTCATAGGTATGTTTGCTTCGTAAGAGTTGTTCCTCATCTCAAATGTTCATAAAACGTCCATTCTTTGATAAAACTTGAAAGTTGAACAAGTATGGACATTATACATGCTGATGCAGGTAAACTAGGAGTGCCAAATTCAATAATCCATAATGAAACAAAATAAGTAACCAAAGGAATTCAAAGACTCCATATAATGTGCAATTGGATCACCACCTGGAATAACAAAAATAATAATAATTCATAGCACAAAAATAACAACCCAGCTTTCTGTCATGCTGGTCATGAAAATCACCGCTGATACACATCTCATCATCAGGTGAGCCATCTAGCAAGCCACCGTGTTAAATTCTGCACCTGGGCAGAACAGAAGTCAAAAGGCTACTCAAGTACTCCACAGCATTCGCCAACCACACAGAAAAGTGGAATCATTCCCCAGTTTCAGTGAACCACGCACACATGCTTTGTGATATGCAAACAATTAAAAACAAAATAAATAATACAACAGTTCTGGCCTCCCAAATCCCCAGCTCCCCTAAATACCAAAACTCCAGCAATTTCGGAGTAGCCAAGCTGCACCAGAATCATAAGCGATTAACTGTTACAACAAATGCAGGTCTGAAAAAAAATGGCAAAAATAATACACAAAATTCCGGCAATGTCCCCCTAACGAACTACATTAAAAGCAGACCAGGGAAAATACACGCGAAAACCAACAAACGCCTCGCAGGAAGACGTCCAATCGCAGCTCCGCTCTTACAAAGCCCGCAAATCCCAACCCCAACTGCCCAAAGTTCAGAACCACCTCAACCCGTTGCAACCCAAACCAGGCTCGCGCATTCAGCCCCCAAACCCTAGCCCTGAAATCGCTCAAAACGGCGCCGCATCGCCCACCGCGCACCGACAGGCAAGCGAGCGTCAACCCGTGCCCGCATCCTCCCAACCACAACCACAACCACAAAACCCGCCTAAAACCCCACCAAAACGGGGGGAAACCAGCACCGATCGCGCCCAGACCGAGGCGAGAAGCAGGGAAGAGGGATCGCTTACGTGCTTGGGCGCCGGGGAGCGGGGTTGATCGGCGGATGCTGCTACAACCACCGCTAGTTCGATCGCCACGCCCGCGCGCGGCAGCGCCCCGGAGGTAGTAGTGCTCGTGGTAGCAAGTACTAGTACTCTACAGTACTAGCAACTATCGGCCGCTTGCGTGGGCTAGTGGGGGTGGGTAGGATAATAGAAATGGGTGTGTGCGCAGCACGTGCCAGGCCACAAGTGCGGAGACGAGAAGCTCCCTCGGTTTTTGGTTTGGCTGCTCTGCGACGTACCGACGAGCTCTGCCCAATTCAAAAGGCCGGTGGTGGATGGGCTCAGGCCCAGGAGCGCATGCCAAGTAACTCAGTATATATGAGTGTGTTTGTATTAATTTTTTCTCGAATACACACGAGTGTGCGTACCATTGTATTAGAATAAAGAGTTTATAATACAAGACTTCCGCTCCCGGCCATTAGTTTTTGTAACAGGATACTATAGCGTGCATGCCAAGCACTGATGCAGGTACGAATACACAAAATACATGGCCATGCCTGAGAATCATGCTGTTATGACCGGCGTCACATATACCAGGAGGAGGCCCATTAGTGGCTGAGCATGTGCGCCGGCATTAGAGGGCTAACAGCCCATATTATCTATTATTTAGCCTATTTATTAGATATATCCCTTATTTTTAGAGATATATATATGGCTTGTAAGACATTTGGATAATCAAGCAGAAACGATCTTAATTGTTTCCGGCTTCCTTTAGGGCCGGATTTGCCCTAGCCATTTGCTGTTCATCTTCTCCACGCTTTGCAACCTCGCGACGCGCCCAGCCACGCCGGCAATGAGGTCCCAAGCTCGCTCCACCTCCCTCTCACCCCTACTGAGACTCCATGATCTACGCGGTAGGATCCGTAATCCTATCAGCCTGGTATCAGACTGCTCAGGAACGATGTCGCAACCTCAGCCGACCTCCTCCTTCCCACCACCACCTACCTCCACCGCGCCGCTCCAATCTGCGGGCTCCGAGATCTCGGATGCCTCGACGACATCTGCTGCGCCGCTCACGCTCGAGTCCTTGGCGGCTGCGATCCTCGACATCAACCGCAACATCGCGTCCATGCAGGCGGCTTGGGCGGGGCTCGTCTAGCAGCCCTCCCCGCCCGTTCTCGGCCTTGCCGCCGCTTAACGCCGCCGTCCACGGGGTTCCTCTCAGTGAGCTCCCAAATTACCGCTCCCGGCCTCGAAGTTTTCCTTACGGGATGCCGATCTCGGGCCTGAGTGTCGCTCCATCTTCTGCTTGTTGGCCGCCTCTCGCCGTCCCCCGATTCCATCATGGGCGATGGGCTCGGCCGCTCCTCCGGTCTACACTAACGCCACCACCACACGCAAATCAGCCCGGTGCGCGCCCGCGACAGCGTCAAGAATCTGCAAAGAAGTCATCTCTAGGGGGTGGGCGCCTCCCTCCCGGGGCCCCACACAAAATGGATCGGGCCGCTATCTTGGCGCCAGTGCTGCGCCAAAGTTCTACAAACTCGAGTTCCCCACGTATGACGGCACCGTCGACCCGCTCAATTGGTTGAACCAATGTGAGCAATTCTTTCGAGGATGAAGCGATGAGCTTTATGGCTTCGCAGCCGGCTCGCGTCCTATCACATGAAGGGCGCTGCACAGACATGGTACTACGCCCTGGAACAAGACGAGGGCATGCCGCCCTGAGAGCGCTTCCGGGAACTCTGCTCCCTCCGCTTTGGGCCGGCTGTACAGGGCACTCGCTTGGCCGAGTTGGCGCGCCTGCCATTCCTCTCCACCGTGCAAGACTACTCCGAGCGCTACAACGCCATCCTGTGCCATGCCCGTGACCTCTCCCCTTGGCCAAAAGGCGGAGTTGTACGTGGGCGGGCTACCGGACCAGATCAAAGTGCATGTGGAGATGCACGCGTCGCGGACCTCAATCGCCATGTACTTGGCTCGGGCGCGTTGAAGGCTGCGTGGCGTTCAGCGCCCCCTCTCGGGCGGGGCAACCGTCCTCCTCCTCAACGCCAGGCTGCCACCCCTCTCACGCTGCAGGCGCGCGCTCGATCCCGGGCGCGCTGCCCCCCTCCAAAGCAGCCGGGCCAAGCAAGAACGCCAACGTGCTTGTTGTCGTGTCTGTCCGTTCCGCGCCTCACCGGCGGAGATGGTGAGCGCCCCACCGATAAGGGCTCTGTTTTAATTGTGACGAGCCTTATGTTCACGGCCATGTCTGCCAGCGCCTGTTCTACGTGGAGTGCGATGACTTCATCGACGACATCGCGGCTGATGACGCTGCTGCGGTTGCCATCCACGTGGAGGACCCGACGGCCCCGGCGCTCGCCGGGGCTAATGCTTTCGTCGGCTCTCTTCATGCTGTTGCAGGGATTCGGCCGGCGAACTCCATGCTAGTGCCGGTCACCATCAAGGGAGAGCGCTTCCTCGCCCTCCTCGACACGGGGTCGACGCACAACTTCCTCTAGGGTGCTGCCATGCGCCGCCTGGGGCTCTCTCCCTCCGGTGGCGAGAATCTTCGCGTCACGGTCGCTAATGGTGACCGCCTAGCCTACGCGGGGATCGCTCGCGACGTCCCCATCCGCATCGCTGACGAGGACTTCATCATTACGTGCGTCGGTCTGGACCGCGGCGGGTTCGACTTCATCCTCGGTTTCGACTTCCTCCGGACGCTGGGACCCATCGCGGTCACCGACGACCCGGCGCTGCCCCTGCTGGACAGCCTCCTTCAGCAGCACGGCGCCATCTTCGACGAGCCCCACGGGCTCCTTCCGGCGCGCCCCTATGACCACCTCATTCACCTGCTGCCCGGTACCGCGCGCGGTGGCGGTGCACCCTTACCGCTACCCCCAGCTCTAGAAGGACGAGCTGGAACGTCAGTGTGCAGAGATGCTCGCGCAAGGCATGATTCGGCCGAGCACCTCGCCGTTTTCCGTGTCGGTCCTCTTGGTGCGGAAACCGGACAAGTCCTGGCGCTTCTGCATCGACTATCGTGCCCTCAACGCCAAGACCGCCAAGGACAAGTTTCAATCCCAGTGGTTGACGAGCTGCTTGATGAGCTCCATGGTGCGCGCTTCTTCACCAAGCTGGATTTGCGCTCTGGTTATCACCAGGTGCGCATGCACCCCGACGACGTCGCTAAAACGGCGTTCCGCACGCACCATGGCCACTACGAATTTTTGGTGATGCCGTTCGGTCTCTCCAACGCTCCGGCTACCTTTCAGGCGTTGATGAACGATGTCCTCCGGCCGTATTTGCGCAGGTTTGTGCTGGTATTTTTGATGACATCCTGATCTACAGTTCCTCCTGGGCCGAACACCTACAACATGTCAACATCGTCCTCCACGCCCTGCGAGCGCACAACCTCCACCTCAAGCGCTCCAAGTGCTCCTTCGGCGCTGCGTCCGTGGCTTATTTAGGCCATGTTATCTCCAAGGACGGAGTGGCCATGGACGCGGACAAGGTCGCGGCGGTTCATGCGTGGCCGACCCCATGCTCCGCCCGCGGTCTCCGAGGCTTCCTGGGCCTCGCGGGCTACTACAGAAAGTTCATTAAGGATTTCGGCATCATCGCTGCCCCGCTGACGCGTCTCTTGCGGCGAGACGCGTTTGCTTGGGACGACGACGCGACCACGGCGTTTGAGGCGCTCAAGGCCGCCCTCACTACGGGGCCAGTCTTGTAGATGCCTGACTTCGACAGGCTCTTCGTCGTGGATTGCGACGCGTTGGGTGCGGGGTTCGGTGCCATCCTTCACCAGGGCGCTGGACCCCTCGCCTACTTTAGCCGGCCTTTCGCTGTCCGCCATCTCAAGCTTGCGGCGGCTTATGAGTGCGAACTCATCGGGCTGGTGCAAGCCATTTGTCATTGGCGTCCGTATTTGTGGGGGCGTCACTTTTTGGTCCGTACTGATCATTACAGTCTTAAATTTTTACTTGACCAGCGCTTGTCCACAGTTCCCCAGCATCAGTGGCTCAGCAAGCTTTTCGGCTTCGATTTCGCGGTGGAATATCGCCCGAGCCGCCTCAACACCGTGGCCGACGCGCTGTCTGGCGTGTGACGCCGAGGCAGTGGACGCTGCAGTAGGCGCGGGCGCGGCCAGGGCCATCTCTGGGCCGTCCTTCGCCTTCCTGGATGCGGTCCGCAGCGCTACAGCCGCCGCCCCGGACGCGCAGCAGCTGCTGCACCGCCTGCACGCGGGCGACTTGGCGGCGCCATGGCGCGAGGACGCCGGGTTGCTGCTGCATGGCCGGCGTATCTTCGTACCCGACGTCGGTGACCTGCGCCACCAAGTCCTGCAGCTGGCCCATGCGGCTGGACATGAGGGTGTACAGAAGACTCTCCACCGCCTCCGCGCCGACTTCTACATCCCAGGGGATCGCTCCCTAGTCCAGGACTGGGTGCGCACTTGCGCGATGTGCCAGCGCAACAAGACGGAGGCATTCCAGCCGGTCGGGCTGCTCCAGCCGCTGGAGGTGCCTGACCAAGTCTGGGCCGACATCTCCATGGATTTCATCGAAGGGTTGCCCAAGGTTGGCGGGAAATCCGTCATCCTCACCGTCGTCGACCGCTTCTCCAAGTACGCGCATTTTATTGCGCTTGGGCACCGTCGCTCGCGCCTTCTTCGACAACATCGTCCGGCTCCACGGGTTCCCTTCGTCGATCGTCAGTGATCGGGACCCCGTGTTCACCGGCCATGTCTGGCGGGATCTCTTCCAGATGGCGGGCGTCAAGCTTCGCATGAGCACCGCTTTTCATCCTCAGACCGCTAGCCCCAATGGGATCTCCCTAGAAAGCTCATTGGAGGATAGATCCAAAGACTCCAAGAGAGTCAAATGGCCAAGCTGAGATGGAATCGGTCCTGTGAATGAATTGTGTGACATGTTTAACACATCCAGCAAAATAAGTTCACCGATAGATGCGGGGATGCTTCCTTGGAAAGCATTATTTGAGACATCAGGGAATACAAGGTTCCTCAGTATCTTATCAAATGTGAGCTCTGACCCTTTGTATGTGAGTTCAGTGGTAGCCTGGTATATGTCAGCTGGTTGACCTTGAGGATAATATTCTATCACCAATGTCTCATTACTAAGTTCTTCCATCATCATGCCCATTAATTGTGAAAGGAATTCTTTGTTCAGTGTACCTGAGAAGTTGTTGGAGGATAGATCCAAAATGCGTACACTTGGTAATCCGCAAGTGTTTTTGTCTTTGGCGCTAGATGGTGCCACCGGTCCAAAGAATTTGTTTTGCTTTAGGATGACAATTTGAAGTTTATGGAGTGTAGTCATCCAGCATGGAAAAGAGTCAGTGATCTCATTATTTGCGGTATCAAGGACCTCCAAGCTTTTGCAAGCTACTAGAGATCTGGGAAGCTGCCCTTTGATCCTATTTCCACTTATATCTAGCCACTCAAGACTGCATGTTTGAGGAAGCTCTCCATCAAGTTTATTTTCTTTGAGATTTAAAACTTTCAATGTATCGGCATCCTCCATCAAGCAAGAGGGGATCGAACCATTAAAGGCATTGTAAGAGAGGTCAAGGAATTCTAGACCCATACAAAAAGATGTCGGAATATTCCCTGAAAGGTTGTTTCTAGAGGCCATGAAAACGATAGTATCTGTAAGTTGAGTAGAAAAGTTCTGTGGCATTGATGAGAACATGTTGCTAGAGAAGTCAAGCAATCTCCAGAATATTGGGGTAGGGGTATTGGGCCCTCAAACATGTTAAAGCTGAGATCTAGGACTACTGAAAAAATAGGAAGAGAGGTGTTGTAGCCAACACTAGTAAATTGATTGTGTGAAAAATTCAGAAACAAAAGGCCATAGTTTGGGCCGCAGTTTGTCGACCACTTTTCCCATGCCCACACGGGTATGGCACCATGCATTTGGTTATTTGAGAGGTCAATCCCACCGCTCACATTGAGATGCTTTAAAATATTAGGGAACTTAGTAATGCTACATGACGCCAATTTTAAGTAGACTATGTTAGGGAAGGGTGCCATTGAAGAATTATATTGTCCCTCTAGTACAACTAACTCGTTGTTTGATAGGTCTAATAGGGATAGCTTTGGTAGTCTCCAAAACTCGTTAAGTTCCACTGTCCCTGTGAAATTGTTTGAAGCAAGGACGAGTTCTTCTAATCCTGTCATATTTAAGATAGGGTTAAGTCCAATTTACACCCTCCAACTTGCACTAAAGTCCGGATTTCAACCTCGAACTTTAAAACCGGACAACTTTGGCCCTCCAACTCTCGAAAAAGTTCAACTTTCAACCTTCTCGGCGGTTTTGCATGTAAACAGTAACTTTTGATATTTTTGGGAGCGCCGAAATTTTATATTATTTTTTCGAGTATATAACGCCCTCAAATGAAAAAACTCAAAACTACAAAGTTGTAGATCTCATCGAGGTCTACAATTTACATATAAAAATTATCTTCATCCAACATCGTATTGAAGAGTTTTCTATTTTTTGAAATTTGAGTCTCATCACGCGTGAAACAATTTTGTCGCGTGATGAGACTCAAATTTCAAAAAATAGAAAACCCTTCAATACGATGTTGGATGAAGATAATTTTTATATGTAAATTGTAGACCTAGTTGAGATCTACAACTTTGTAGTTTTGAGTTTTTTCATTTCAGGACAGTAAGATGCTCGAAAAAATAATATAAAATTTCAGCACCATATTTTATCGCGTGATGAGACTTAAATTTCAAAAAATAGAAAACCCTTCAATACGATATCGGATGAAGATAATTTTTATATGTAAATTGTAGACCTCGATGAGATCTACAACTTTTTAGTTTTGAGTTTTTTCATTTGAGGACGATAAGATGCTCGAAAAAATAATATAATATTTCGGAGCTCCCGAAAATATCAAAAGTTACTGTTCATCCGCAAAACCGCCCTGAAGGTTGAGAGTTGAACTTTTTCGAGAGTTGGAGGTCAAAAGTTGTCCGGTTTTAAAGTTTGAGGTTGAAATCCGAACTTTGGTGCAAGTTGGAGGATGAAAATTGGACACCTTTAAGATATGTGGAGGTATCCTCCCTGAAGCTTTGCATTTCATGATTGCTAATGTTTTTAGTTTGATCAAATGACTTATGGAAGATGGTATTGGTCCGTATAAGCCACAATCAGAAAATTGAAGAACCTCCAAGGAAGTTAAGTTTGTGATCCATGATGGGATAGGTCCCACTAGATTTAAACCAGATACCTTCAATGTGTTCAAGGATTTGAGCTCGCCAATTGACGAGGGCAGATTTCCAGAAAGTCCGGGTGCATCAAGACATAGCCTCTTCAAAGATTGGATTTTGCCAATGGAACTTGGTATTGTACCAGAAAAGTTCGTGTCACCAACAAGCAAATTCTGCAGACAACTATTAGCTGAGAAATATGGGAGGCTACCAGAGATTTTGTGATTATAGTGAAGATCAATAGTCACTAATTTCTTAAGTTCAAATATTTTTGGAGAAACCCATCCTCTAAGGTAATTGTAGCTAAGCTGGAGAACACCGAGGAAGGAATAGTTGGCAAAGAAATCGGGAACAGGACCTGTCAAAGAATTGTACTGTAGATCAATCACAGATAGTGAGTGCAAAGCAGAGAGTGTTCCACAGATCGGGCCCGAGACCCCACAAAATGGCAACCTAAGAACACGAAGATTTGGAGTGTACATAGACAGAGCATCACACCAGTCTGCCGATTGGGACAAGTCGACAGAATCAAGGTGGAGCTCCCTCAGACTACGGAGGCTTGCAACTAAAGACGTAAAGTTTGACACGGCTAGCTGCCCCATGTCAAGCTCAGTAGTACCAAACAACATATAACCATTGCCCGGAATCTCAATCAATTCAGCAGAAACCGAGAGGTCGAGAGACACCAAATTCGTGAGACGGCCTATGTTTTGATATGTTTTGAGGAACTTGGCCGGAAAAGTTGGTGTTGGAGAGGTTGAGGGTGGTAAGCTTAGTCAATCTCTCAAACCCGATGGACGGGAGTTCGGACATGTTGAAATCGTTCCAGCTTAGGTGGAGATGGCTTAGGGAGGTTAGATCGAAGAGCGCAAGATCAATACCTGCGCTCTCCAAACCCCAGTTCCTCAAGTCGAGGGAAGTCACGCGGCCGTCGGAATCACCGCAGTGCACGCCCGCCCAGCGGCAGCAGTCCGTGCCGACCTTCAATGACTGGAACGCTGTGATGGAGCCCGCAGTGGCGGCGAATGACAGCTTGAGCCGAAGCAACACTGTCTCCTGGTCGTGCAGGCATGAGACCTGCGCCACGGCAACAGCAGTGTGGTTGCTGCTGAACGAACCGGCCATCACTAGGTTGATTTGTAGCAGGAGGTGCAGCACTACTGCCTGTGGTGGCGCGTGACGGGCCATGGCTGTGGCGGTGGGCATATCGGCAGCAGGCTCTTTGGTTGGCTAAGACCTGTTGCAAGTAAGCTTCTGAGTTCTGCTGATAGGGGAGATACTTAGCAGGTGTTCATCGGATGTTTGGATACTACCGTGCGATGGCTTATTATATACACTACAGACTTTAGAACGGTTTCATTTTAGTATTAGCCTTAGTATTATTTTTTATCCCCGGGACTAAAGATCCCTGCTCCGAACCTTGAGTCCTGGTTGGTAATACCAGCCGGGACTAAAGCTTTTAGTCTCGATTTGGGTGATGTCCTGGGAATAAAGATTAATCTTTAGTCCCGATTTGGCTCCCTAACCAGGACTAATTATTCCGGCCTATAGACCAGCTCATTTCTTCCTCCCCGAGCCCGAGCCATTCCATTCAAACTCACTGCCTCTGTTCTTCAGCTTGCTGTTGTTCTTGCTCTCTCCCCCTCTATTGGTGTTGCTCTTCGATTTTGGAGGTAACAAACTTAATCCTCTTATGTTTTATCAGTAGCTTATCTCATTTTGCGATGTAGATGCATGTGTAACTTTATATGTTGGACTTTATTATGATTTTATATAATTTTTAGCTTAAAATCACATGATGATTTGTATATATGTTTGGATAAACAAAAGTTAAATTAGTTCATCAAAATCACTTGATAGTTTAGTATTGCTAGTATATGTAGTACATTTCATGGTTTAGTTAGATAAATAAATATTTTTATTTTTTTAATATATTACTTTAGAAATAAGAAATTTACAATAATTTGCAAAAATAAATATAGAAAGTAATTTGATATGGTGGATTTGATTATGATTTCTATGTCATTTTTAGCTCAAAATCATATGATGATTTACAATAGTAAAATCACTTGATAGTTTGGTATTTTACTATTATACATAGTACATATTTCATGGTTTAGTTAGATAAATAAATAATTTTAGTTTTGTTTAAATATATTATTTTAGAAAATGTGAAATTTACACTAGTTTGCAAAAATAAGTATAGAAAGTAGATGACAACTGGTACCGGATCCTCGGCCTCTCGTTCGGTTGCGAAACGACCGAGGCCAGAACTCCCTCTCATTATCTGCGGCAAGTGTAAGTAGAAGATTGTGATGGAGTACCGAGTCAAGAGACAGGGACCCAACAAGGGTCGTGTTTTCTACAAGTGCCCGGATCGCGATGTGAGTTTCTTACGCATTTGATTATTATAGCTAATTGACATGCTTTTCTTGAATATTTTTGATTAAATATTTTTTGGCTTTAATTTCAGTGGGAGGGCAATGGATGCGATGGTTGGTACTGGGAGGAAGATTATGCTACATACGTGCAGAATTCCCAGCAGACAAGGATACCTACAGAAGCCGCTAGAGAAAGAAGGATGAGGAGGCAGACCGAATCCATGTATTGGAGCAATTTGTTAATGAGTCACGACAAACATTGCTTGAATCACGTGAACGAGAAAAATCTCTTGAGGTAAGAATGCAGGAGGAGATCAAGAGGCAAGTGCAGCTAGCAATGAGTCAAATGCAATCGCAATCAACACCGGGATTCACCATTAGCCCCGTTGGTCAGATAAAAAGCAGTTGTGCTTACACGGAGCTGCCAGTTATTCAAGATGTCGCTGGGTTGCGCTTCCCTGTTGATGACATTACCGAGCCTCTAACAACATGTGAGCTGTACATTCCAGATGGTAATAATGCATCAATCATGGTGGCTGTCGGGGTTGTATCTCCAATAGACCGAACGAAGACACCAAGAATCCATGGGTCAGTTATTCAACCTGGATATACTAGCGTCTCGATCGATAGAGTGCTCAAATGTTATAGCAATGTTTCTCTTGACATTGAAGACGGTGATGAGGAAAAGACACTAGGAGAAGCAGAGAAGACATTTATTTAATGGCGCAAACGCTTCATCATCATTCCTGGGGCGCCACCGCTTCCCCTACCTCACCCTAGGTACGAATGAAAGTGAATGAAATATTATTTTTCATTAATTTTCTATTGGCTTCAAAAATAATTGACTCACAACTTGTTTTTGTAGCAGGGTCTCCCCCCAGCCTAGCCCAATCATTCATTCCCCATCTCATCACAGCGTCGCGGGGGGTGAGACGACTTCATCCCCACGGCGATCTCCAACTCCTACACCGGCTCCATCGCCTCCACAACGATCTTCAACTCCTACACTGGCCCCACCGCCTCCACAACGATCTCCAACGCCTCCACGCCGGTCTCCAACACCGCCCCCACCCCCTCCACAGTGACGCACTACAGAGACGTCTAAAGTCCCGGCGGCAAAGAAAACCCTGAAAAAAAGAGTTATTTCTCAAGAAATACTTCCTGAAAAGACTGATGAGCAAATAGCAGCTGAAGAAGACAAAAAAGTGAAAGATTTTTTTATAGATATCGAAAAGCAGAGACAAGCGAAGCTTAAGGAGAGGCCGTACTTTTACATACCACGAGATCTGCTGAGGCAGAAGGTCGAAGCTCACAAGAAAAAGATGCTTGAAATTCGTAAGCCTCCGCCACTATCAGACTATGACCGCTCCCTCATGAAGTCACATGATGCAGTTAAGAAAAGGAAAAGAGCATCAGGGAAGATGTCCCACAGCTCGGACAACAGAAGCAACCAATGCAAAATCTTATTGTTGCTAATGAATATGGTTCCAACATAGAAGTCTATCGACTAGACAACTCTAGAGAAGTGTCGGTTCAAGACCTTAATGCTTTTTTTGAAGATACTGGTTTAACCTTGGATCAATTGACGGGCAAAGCTCCAATCCAGAACCTGGAAGTTGATACCTGGAAGACTTATAAATTTGGCAAAAGTCTGTACAACCCTACGGCTCTGAATGAATTGGGTACGTAAATGTACTTGCTCAACAAGTGGTACATGCAGACGTGTGGCAGGGGTGAGGAGTGGATCTTTGTCAGATTTAGAGGCCATCGTTACTTCCGTGGCAATGACATCTTACATATTAGTTTCGTAAAATTGCATCAACTATACCACATGGACGCTCTGGACAAATCAATCATTAGTTGCTTTTGTTTGTAAGTGATTCTTACTTTTATTTAATAAACTCACTTCCATGCGTACGTGTATATAATTATCCTCACATGTAACTTATATTTATATATAGATTCCAGATGTCAGAGCTCCAAAGAATACAAGACACCCGTGTTGGCTTCATTGATCCTTATATCGTATTCAAAACCGATATTATTGTCAAGGAGCAGTGGGTATCTGAAGCACAGAAGAATATCATGAGGTTATTCGTGAATCAGCACGACAAGACAACAATACTTTTCCCATACAACCTTGAGTAAGTGTTAATAATAATGTAGTCTACATATTTTATGTAATATCAATACAACTTATATGTATGTACGTGTGTGTATAAACCAATGCAGATTTCACTGGATACTCATTGTCATTGAGTTAAACTCAAGTCGGTTAGTAATCTTGGACTCGTTGAGAAAAGAGCGGGCACTATACCAAGATATGATAGACATTATCCAGGGGTAATTTCGATCTCTCGCGCACAACTATTATTGAATAGACTTTGCCATAATTTATTAACGATCGTACATTATTGGTCGCACAGGGTTTGGAAAGAGTTTATTCGGCAACACCGCAAGGATTGCAAGGCACCACTTAATGTAGTTGAAATACCAGTAAGTCGTACTTTATATACTTCCCCACGTGTTTAATTACTATATCGTACTTCAATTTACATGTGAGATGATGAGAATAATCTTCTTCTCGTACAGTGGTGTTTGCGACAGCAATCAGGTAATAACTTGTGTGGATACTACGTTTGTGAACTTATCACTGTGCACATAAGAAGAACTCCTGAAGATGTCCTCAGAGTACGTATATATTAATTTTTTATTTATTTTTAAATGAATGTATATATATATATATATATATGTATTAATATTTTTCCTTTTATTTCAAATGCAAGACTGAATGATTGAAACAAAGGGTCATACAAAAAGACCATCTGAAAGCAGTTCAAGAGTCAATAGTAAGATTTCTTCTAGAAAAAGTGTTAAATCCTAACGGCGAGTTCTACTTCGATCCTAAGAAATAAATGATGTAAATTAAATGTTTATTGATATCGTTATTTTCGAGAACAAGATTATGAAAGTGTTGTATATATACATATATATATATCTATAATATATATAGTTTCATACTTTATTCGAATATAATAATGCTCGAGATGAGAATTAGATGTAATTATATGCGTGCGTGTATTTATATTAACAGCGTAGAATACGTACATAAAAACATATTATATACTAAACAAATATGTGTAACTGAACTAAAAACAAATTAAAAAAAAAAGAAAAAGAAAAGAAACCTTTAGTCACGTTTGCTCGACTGAAGGGCCTTTAGTCCCGGTTGGTAACACCAACCGAGACTAAAGGTTCCTCTTTAGTTCTGGCTCGATGACCCAAGACTTAAGGTGGGGATCGTTGTCCCGACACGGTAAGCGAAACTAGTCGTTACCGCCCGAGACAACCCCATCTGTAGTAGTGATAGTACTACGCGCGCAGGCATTTGGCTCGGATGGCAGTGGATAAACCTGCCCCCCTGCAGGCCAGTAGGCATCGAGCGTGCCGTTATCATGCATGGGCCATGCTCATTCAAGTTGTTCCACTCTATGCGTCCTATCGCATGTAAGCGACGACCAGTCCCCTTCAGTGCTTGACTAGGTTTACTGTAGTTCGATCAGATCTGTCAACAGGGCGTTTTCATGCTTGAGCTTAGTTTAGCTGTGTTTTTGAGGTAAACGCTAGCGGTCATCCTACGACGGCCATTTTAGACACAGTCTACATATATGACCGATTAGGCTATTTAGATATTTGTACATTAGCGTGTGGTGATTATACCAAAAAAACATTTAACAGCTAGCTATATATTTTTTTATAGATATGCACTACATTAATCTTTCAACAAATTCCGGAACACCATCTAGAGTACAAATATCTGAAGATAACTAACGTAGTGGTTACAAGGAAAGAGAAGGTCATACATCAGCTGGAGTCATTGCAAAGAAGATATCTTCCAACTCAAATTACTTTTACCGCTACACCCCACAAGTATGTTTTTCCCTTCGAATTTCTCACATTTGAAATTTGAATTTTTCAAAAGACCTTGGATGAAGAAACAACCAATACAAAAAATGTAGATCTCAAAAAATTATACAACTTTATAGTTCAAAACTTTTTCATTTGAAATCATCTATCTAAGGAAAATCATATTTGAATTTCTCACATTTGAAATCCAAATTTTTCGACAACCTCGGATGGAGACAGTACCAAAACAAATTTTGTAGATCTCAAAAAGTTATACAACTTTGTAGTTCATAACTTTTTCATTTGAAATCATTTATCCAAAAAAAATTATATTTGAATTTCTCACATTTGAAATCCAAAATTTTCAAACGACCTCAGATGGAGAAATGACCAAAAACAAATAAAGTTGTAGATCGCGAAAGTCTATAAAACTTTATAGTTGACAACTTTTTCATTTGAATTTGTCTAGGATCCTAAATACTCATTTTAAAATCGGATAGACATAAAATAAGAAGGACGAATATCCAAACTAGATACAAATGTCTTATGGGTGGAGTAGCTAGGGAAGGCACGCGTAAGGCCAGAGGTCGCGGGTCACGGGTTCGAATCCCCGCGGGAATTGCGATGGTTGTGCGCTTGTGGCTGGTTGGTGGGGTCTTCCTGTAATTAAAAAACTTTTTTTGCTATTTTTTTTTTGCTTTTTATTTGTCCCGGATATGTAATTTTAAAAAATAATTTGCAAGGGCGGCTCGTTTTTGAATCGCCCCTAAAACTACCGAACCACCCCCTATAAATCAATTTTTAGGGTGGTTGGTCAACCGTCCCTACGAATTATTGATTTCTAACGACGATTGGGTAGCAGCCCCTATAAATGGTTTGGAGCCGCCCGTATAGAGCCCCTTCCGTAGTAGTGGCAACAGTGGCAACTCTGCAAACCAGTATCTAAACTTAGGAGTCAATCTCCGATGTTGAGCACCGAGGCTAACATCCAACATGTTATATATTAGGACTAGGACCGGATTAAGGCCATGTTTTGATACAAGAGCTAATTACTACCTAGCTAAAAAATTAGCTAAAATGAGTTTTAGACGGCTAGTAGTAGGTGAACTATTTTTTAGTCAAATGTCTAACTAGTACCAGGTAGTCAACTAGCTAAGCAACCCTAGCTAACTTGAGTTGATTTTAGCTCAACTAATAATTAGCCACCTGTATCAAATAAGTAGGCCCTAAGAGCATCTCCAAGAGTTTCAAAACATTCTCCCAATCTAAGATTTTTAGCAAAATTAAAAAAAAAACATCTCCAACGACTCCTAATCGCAGCTCTCAGTGTTTTAGCACTTTGAAAAACAGGCCGTCCGCACCTAAAGATACGCGCGATGCGCGTGCGCCTATCCTCCTCGCGTGAATCCGCGACCCAACTCGTGAGGGGCGACGCCGCCGCCCCGGCCGCTCCGACTCCGGCCTCCGCGCCCTTCCGCCCTCCCCTTACGGCTCCATCCATCGGCTGAAGGTCCCGACGCTGATACAGTGCACATGATCCCCGCGTTGCGTACGTCCTACTGTGGATGGTCACTTTCCTCTGTCGTTCCTCTGAAACATCGCCGGCGCCGCCGTCTCCTCTACCTATGCTTTGTGATGATCAATTCACATCACAACATGATAAAAAGCATGTATGATCTAGAGTTAGAAAACAAACAGCATGTGCTTGCAGGAGGACTAATGAGCTGTAATACGCCCATTTTAGAAAAGAATTCAACTCCAGCATCGTTCGGCTTGGACATACAGTGTGACTGCTCCCTCCTGTGGACCTCTTTTAACGGATCAGGTGGCTGCTTCCTCGTCCTCTTGGAAGCTTTAGGCGAGCTCTCGGCAATGGAGGTCTGAATGTCTCTGAAGAAAGCAATGAGCTCCTCCTTGCTATGCTTGCTGACCATGTCTGGCGATGCCACGCCGTTGCCGTTGGCTTCTGATCTGATGATGGCCGACCAAAATGAGCGTGGAAAGCCTTGCCGCGGAGAACAGAAGAGGTGCACACCTGCAAGTTCAGTGACTGCGTCAAGATACATTGCTGAACTCTCAGTTCCATTTTGCGACAGCGTGCAGTTCACTGCAGCTTCAGTCAGGTGCTGAACTGTTGATCCATGCACGCTGTTGTTTTTTCTCATCGTTATTTTTCTCCTACAACTAAAAAAAACAACGTGTGGAAATTTTTTTGGTGCGACATTTGTTTTGGTTCGTCCGTCTACTCACGCCTGCGATCCCACGACATCTTAATTACTGATTGATCGTGCCATTCTCCTTGATTGAATATTGTCTGTCATGTGATAGAGAAATCACGGTATCGATGCCCTCGTATCGAACACCGCTATTCTGTGCCGAGCTCCTCTTGTCCTTGTCTTTCATGTGGAACCTGTAGACCTTGACATCATACCCTTGCCATTTGGCTGGACAAGCCTAACACAAGCCTCTCAACGGTCTCCGTATCTTCATCGGGGCATCCTTCAAGGGGTATGTGTTGCTCTTTGAGCCACTTTACAAAACTGCTCTTGTGATGGTTCTGGACCCATGCCTCCGTGCGCTGCCCGTTATGAGTGGCGCGGATCTCTTCTAGGTGCTTTTCAATGTATTTGTCCATGCTGATCAACTGATGAAGGATGCTGTAATGAGCTTGTTCCACCATTTTGTTTGGTATATCGGTGCATACTTTTTGGCCCGTGCACCCCATCCCCGAGGTTCTGCCTTTGTGCTGATGGACAAGCAGCCCAATCGCCCTCCCATCTCTTATGTACCTCATACACCAGTTCACGCCCCCCTCAGTCATGTATGTCTCGATCATAGAGCCCTCCGGGTAAGCACGGTTATGGACGTATCTGTTGAGGGTGGACATGAACTGCTCGTACGTCCACATCTGGTGTAGGTACACGGGGCCCAGTTGCTGGATCTGATCGACCATGTGCATCATCAGGTGTAGCATAATATCAAAGTAAGACGGTGGAAAGCACATCTCGAGCTGGCAAAGGGTCTCCGCGATGATCTGCTTTAGGGCAAGCAGCTCAGCCTCATCGATGACCTTCTAGGTGATGCGGTAAAAGAAGTATGACATCCGTGTGATGACCATCTTCACATACTCTGGACGGATAGCCCTGATCACAATTGGAAGGAACACCGTCAGCATGTCGTGGCAATCGTGTGAGTTGTAGCCGGTCATTGTGAGGTCTTTCATGGAGACCAGGCTCTTGATATTGGAAGAGAAACCGGTCGGCACCTTGATACCCCTAAGCAACTTGCAAATAGTCGTCCTCTCACCTTGTGTTAGGTTGTAGGCCGCACCCGGGATATCGACTTTACCGTTCTGAGGCAGTTCCGGGTGAAGTTCCGGCCTGATGCCCTGGTTCACAAGATCCATCCGTGACTTGAGACCATCCTTCGTCTTGCCCTTGATGTCCAGCAAGACACCGATCGTGCTTTCAAAGACATTCTTCTCCAAGTGCATGCAGTCGATGGCATGGGGTGTATTCAGTGTTTCCTAGTACGACAGGTACTTGAAGAAAATTGACTTCTTCTTGAAAGGAACGGCAGGGACAACAGGCGGTGCTTCCTCCATCTTGTCCCGCTTTCGCTTCCTTGTCTGTTTTGTGCCCTCTTTCGGTAGCTTCATCTTCTTTCCGAACTTGACCTGATCCATATCCTTGACTATCTCATACACCTTTGTCCCCCAACTAGTCTACGCCGGTTCTTCACGCTGCGGCTCATCCTGACTGTCAAAGTATTTATTCATAATACTTCTTCTATACCTGTGATTTTTTATGAGGAACCGTCTGTGCCTTGTGTACACCATCTTGTTGGATCCCTTAAGGTAAGTGTAGCAGGTCTCGTCGATGCAAACTACGCAGCCGATCTTCCCTTTGATCTGCCCTGATAGTGAAAAGAGATCGGGGTAATCGGTGATGGTAAAAAGATGATTGCTTTTAGGGTGAACTTCTCCTTGCGGGACGCATCCACCATCTGGACCCCAACATCAAATAGTATCTTCATATCCTCCATGAACAGCTCTAGGAACACATCTATATCGTTGCTGGGCTACCTCGGTCCAGAGATAAGCATGGTCAACATAAGGTACCTGCACTTTTGACATAGATGGGGATGTAGGTTGTAGATGGTGAGGACAACCGGCCAAGTGCTGTGCAAGCTGCTAAGCTCACCGAATGGGTTCATCCCGGTACTCAGCGTGAACCTAACATGCCTGGGCTCCTTGCCAAACTCCGGGTAGGCCTCGTCAAAATCCTTCCACTGCTTGCCGTCGGAGGGGTGCCGCAGCTTGCCATCGTCCTTCTAGCGGTCAGCTGATGCATGCAAGGACATGAGCTTGGCATCCTCTAGGTTCACGAATATTGCACACAGGCGATCGATCACAGGCAGGTACCACACCGATAGTGTAGGACTTTTCCTCTCCGTGTAACCCTCTTCTTCCTCATCCTGCTGAGCCGAGATCTGCTTGGCCACATTGCTCTTCTTGGCCCCCTTCTTCTTCTTTAGACCACCCCACAAGGCTTCGTCGTCGTCTGTATCCATGCGACAGCCAGCATTCCTCTTGTACCGACTAAAGCTGCAGTGTGGACAACTCGTCAAATTCTCATACTCCTTGCCCCGATACAGGATGCAGTGGTTAGGGCAGGCATCGAACTTTCTAAGTTTCATCACCACTGGCCTGATCAACTTCTTCACCCGATAAGTATTGGCGGACACCTTGTTAGCCGCTGGGTACGTGATAGCAAGGAAACTTAACAGCTCGTTGAAGCTACTGTCAGACCAACCATGCCGAGCCTTCATCATCAACATGTGGAGGTTAAACCGGAGCACCATGCACTCCTTCGGACAATTGTCGCCGTCCTTATAGAGAGGATCAACTGCCGCCTGCTTCATCTCTCTGAAATTCTCCAACACTTTAGGGAGCCAAACACAACGTCGTCTTCATCGATGTGGTTGACTAAATCCTCAAGTAGTTGCACATCCTCAGGTTCCTGCACAGTAGCCTCCTGACCATCCCCACCACCATCTGGCATGTCCTGGAGTATATCTTCCACCGTGATGTAATCACGAGCACTATTGTCGCTGCCGGCTGGCGTAGCTGCTGCTGAAGATGAGACGGGCGCTCCTATAGGATCTTGATTCACCGGTAACGCTGCTGTCGTCGACGACGAGCTCACTCCAGATGCACCGCCACTCGCATGTACTTTGTCGTGAAGAGTCTAGACTATGTAGCCCTTGACGAAACCATACATAATCAAATGAGTTTGCACCGTGCCGTTTACGTGGGCTTTTAGGTTCTTGTAGTGAGAACATGGACATATGGTTGTCGTCCGCTTCAGTCTCTCACGGTGAGCTTTCGCAGCGCCAACAACTTCCTTACTTCATCGAGGTACCGCGGATCAGTCACTCTATTGATCTGGTACATCCATTCGGACCTGTCCATCGTACCTGCGAACCTTATACATCACATGCAGCAAATAAAGAAGAATTAGAAAAAAAATGATGATTTACATCCAAAATCATGAAAAAGAGAGAGCAATGACGATGGGAGAGAGCTTTCATGCATCCATGATGAATCTAGAGCTAAAGAAACACAAGCTTTCTCTGTCCTCCATAAAAATGATCTAGAGAACCCTAGGTGATGATGGAAAGAGAGAGAGGATGGAAGGAGGATGGGAGAGCCTTTATGTACCTCTTGTGGTGTCCTCCTCCCCAAATCCAAGGCCTAAAACTCAAATCAAAGGTTTGGTCAATTTTTAGGGCAAAGCCTCCCCCCTATAAGTTGGAAGAGGAAGATTCGTGGGATAGAAGAGGGGGTGGCGCTGTGCATTTATGGGGCCAGGGTTTACCGCGGCGGGCCACTTAATTTGCCCGCCGCGGTAAATCAATCTTTACCACGGCGGGCGGCCTAAAGCGCCCGCCACGGTAAATCGATTAACCGTGGCGGGCACTTGTAAGGTGCCAGCCGCGGTAAATAGGTATTTACCGCGGTGGGCAAATTAGGTCGCCCGCCGCGGTAAATCGATTTCCCGCTGCGGGCGCCTCGGTGGCCGGTAGACCACCGAATAACCGTGGTGGGCAAACTTTGTGCCCGCCACTGAGGCTGCTGGGGCGATGCTGCAGAAATTCAATCCTGTAGTAGTGTTAGGCCCATTTGTATCCCATAATGGCACTGTTGTAAATACTAGCCTTGCTGTGGGTAATAAAGAGAACAGCCCCGCCCACCTTCCCTATAAAAGGGAAGGGGAAGAGGGACAAAGAGGGGGGGAAGGCTGGTCACTCAGCTCCCCGTTTCTCTCTATTCGTCATCATTACGATTCTATTCGCCTGAGTGTCCACCAGGGGGTTTGAAGGCTAAGGCCTAGAATAACATTGGCGCCCACCGTGCTCGGCTCGAACTTTCACGAACGAAAACAAGAATTTGAGCAAAAGAGCTATGGAGCAATCTTCGACCGCATAGAAATCTTCAAGGCAAAAACCAAGCGGTTCCGCATCCTAGAAGTGCAATCTCCATCACAACCATTCGGTTACTTTGGTCCAATCGAAGTCTAGAAGGAACGAAAAGTCAACCAGTCTGAGACCAGGATAAGTGATTTTTTTTTGTCTAATCAGTTTTTTTTTATAGGAATAAGTAGATATAAGCGCCTCTTTGAAAGCGAAAACTATTCCTTTGATTATCTTGATTGGCACTGCTTTCGTCTTCTCATGATCAAATGCTATTTCGGCTCGGTCGAGTTAGACGTGCATCGTCCACGGTTAAGTGGCTATGATGCCTCAGGCAGAGCACAAGCAAGAGGAGCGGCCAGGCTGTCCTGGCTCCAGACCAGTCTGTTCTCTGGTTCCTGCAATTGGCAAAAGTGCTTTTGCCATTCACGGTCAGCTTATATTCCAACTTGGCTAGGGTATATTCACCGAACCCGGCACAGCGACTAAGAAGCATCAGCTAAGTACAAACCCATTTTAATTTGGTCGGCCTAATTCGCAAAGCAAGCTTAGCGAATCAAATATTCTCTTCATTTACAATCTAGCACGCAAGTTTTTGCAGATTAGCATTTGTTAATATCACAAACCACTAAGCTAACTGCTATCTGCAAAGGCCGGACCCTAATATCACTCTCGCTTAAGCTAAATGTGCTCGCATGCATTTAACAATGATTGTTTTCATCTGGAGGCGATTGTACTTTCGCGTTTTCAGGTATTCCCTGCAAAACAGCCTTGTTTAACCCAAGATCTATTTGAGCAAGTCAGACTCGGCAAAAGCTTCTTTCTTCGCCCTCGGTTTTCTCCAAGGGTGCTGACTCCAGCGAGGGATCACCAGGATATCTTGGTCATATGGTTTATTTCCATTAATCCTGCATTTTAACTTTCTAAGCATTACTCAATACACACAAAGTCGCTCCGGCTCTCTAACTAAAACCTTCAGGTCTTCGGGTTTTGCACGAAATCTCTGCATCCTACTTTGTATTAGACAAGCTTACTCACGGTTTTTAACTACCATCATTTTTATAGGAAGCTAAACTTTAGTTGTTATTATTGTGATGCATGTCTCTTGTCCTACTCGCACTCTAGACAGACACTGAAGATTCGGAAGTGGCGAAAGTAAATTCGCTCAAGCTACATTCCAGTTTTTGGTATCCAACAAGCCAAGGGTGAACGGCGAAGCCTCACATTCCATCAAGGCAATCCAAAACCATGGCACCTCCTGAACTATCCACAAACTCCCGAACTGAGCACAACGCTTCAGCACAAGCTATACTTATACAAGGGCCACGCACGAAGAAGCTTTCGGTTTTTATCATCCAGGTCACGAGCGTCAGCTGAATGGCGAGAAGTCTAGACGAGCAAGCAGTCTGCTCAACTGGCAGCAGGGCGTTTAATTGCCACAATCACTATTCGATGCATTCCCAAGCAACTTTCTGGATTATTTATCTGGATTTTGGACCGATATTTGGATACATATTTCCCGGCTCTCCCCACTGGATTTCGGGGGCTAATAATCTGGAAATATAGGTCGTCAGATTGCAAAGGATTGTTGAATCCATCCTCGGATGATGGGTGCTTTATCTTCGTCTTAATTTATTCACCGAGCTTCAAGTGATATTTCATCACTCTCCTCAAATGTGCAGGTTCATACTATTTCATTGAGGTAATAGTGTAGCACCAAGCTATCACACGGGCAATCTCAAACTTTTCGCAACAATGTTTCTTCACTGACCTTGAGATTACTATTGCATTATTGCAGCAATGTTTCTTCACTTACCTAGTGATTACTATTGTATCATTCGGCTTGTTTTTTCTTGTAAATGCTTTCATCATATCCATGAATAAAAAGTCTAAGGGCTCAAGACTTCGACCCTTTGACCAGACGAAAGGGCGAAGCAAACGAAAGCCTAAGGGCTCAAGACTTCGACTCTCTGAACATGCGAGAGGCGAAGCAAACGAAAGCCTAAGGGCTCAAGACTTCGACCCTCTGAATAGGCAAGAGGCGAAGCAAACGAAAGCCTAAGGGCTCAAGACTTCGACCCTCCGAACATGCGAGAGGCGAAACAAACGGAAGCCTAAGAGCTCAAGACTTCGACCCTCAGAACAGGCGAGAGGCGAAGCAAACGAAAGTCTAAGGGCTCAAGACTTTGACCCCCCGAATAGGCGAGAGGCGAAGCAAACGAAAGCCTAAGGGCTCAAGACTTCGACCCTCCGAACAGGTGAGAGACGAAGCAAACGAAAGCCTAAGGGCTAAAGACTTCGACCCTCCGAACATGCGAGAGGCGAAGCAAACGACCTAAGGGCTCAAGACTTTGGCCCTCCGAACAGGCGAGAGTCGAAGCAAATGAAAGCCTAAGAGCTCATGGCTTCGACTCTCCGAATAGACGAGAGGGTGAAGCAAACGATAGCCTAAGTCATGCTGAGGGGCTGACATCAAAGTCCTATCCAATACTTTAACATTCCGAAGATACACAAAGGCAAAGCTAAATAAAAATCCCATTATTGTTATGTGCAAATGCGTCCAACATATATATCACGATATCCGTCCAAAAACATCCATTCACCTAATGAGCACTTCTGTCCGAGCCGAAAGGGAGCCTCATCTTCATAAGGCCCCCGATATCGGCAAAAATATACTCAATGAGATCAACTAGTCAGCATCCGCAAATTATCGCATGCACCCTTTATGATCTCTATGTACATAACGATACCAAAAAGATCTCAGCAACCTTAGGTTACTTTAAAAAATAATGATAATAATATATACACAACCAAACCATAATGATAAAAGGTGCTCAATCAAGAGCATGAACACTCTACTCGCTTTTCGCTGGCTCAAGCAGCGTCCAGAGATTAAAACAAGTATGTGCTTCGAAAGATAACAATTTGCATATCTGTAGCGATTGTAATTTTGTAGGCGGTACCTAAATGTTATAAAGCCGCATTCATTCAGGACCAGCCACCTAGGCTAAGCGAAAGCTATTTCGGGTGATCTTTGATTGAGCAACTAAATTCATTGTTAACATTGGGTCACCTTGGTGACTAGTCTCATGCGAAAAGCCAAAAGACTACACATCTCATTCAGAAATATGGAAACTAAAGCAACCGCCGAGGGGCTCGTTTTCGCCCCTATTCCCTCCTCGCCTCAAAAAGTTTGGGGGAGTTAGCGCTGAAATAGTATAAAAGCGCCGAGGGGCTCGTTTCGCCTTCATTCGCCCCTCGCCTCAAAAAGTTTAGGGGGAATTGGTGCCGAAATAGTATAAAAGCACCGAGGGGCTCATTTCGCCTCCATTCGCCCCTCGCCTCAAAAAGTTTAGGGGGAGTTGGCGCCGAAATAGTGAAAAGCACCGAGGGGCTCGTTTCGCCTCCATTCGCCCCTCGCCTCAAAAAGTTTGGGGGGGAGTTGCGCCGAAATAGTATAAAAGCGCCGAGGGGCTCGTTTCGCCTCTATTCACCCCTCGCCTCAAAAAGTTTGGGGGGAGTTGGCGCTGAAATAAGCACCGAGGGGCCCGCTTTGCCTTTATCCTCACCATCGCAAAAAGATATCCTGTCACCACAATAATAAATAATATAAATAAAAAATAAACCCAGCAATTTATCAGTCGGAACAACATTTCAGGAAAAGATCCCCATCGCCGCCTTCGGCACTTTCGCCAACGACTTGGCGTCGAGGAGCCTTCCACGGCATCTCTGACTTCTCCATCGTCGTCATCGAAAGGGTAACATAGCCGCCAGCCAAAGGGATTTGGCGCCAAGCGAATTGGACAAGCAATCCGCCCGATGATAGAAGCTTTGCCTGGCGCCCATAAATGAAGGTCTGAAGACACGCCATGATCATCTACGACTACTTCGACAACACCAACCGCTACGCCTGCCTCAGCTGCGTCGTGAGCAAAGGGATCCATTGAAGACGAGTTGAAGGCTATCGAGAGACGAAGCAGCCCTGAAGCTATTCATGTGTAGATGAAAAGTGTGTACCGGAATCTGGACTGCAATTGGAACCGCCACACCTTGTTGTGTTCAGCTATTGGGTTTTGTACCGAATAGCTGAGGGGCTATTGTTGGGGGTGTGTTGTATGTTGTTGACCCCACTAATGTGTTTTGGGCCCAATTGTTTAATTTAGGAGTTAGCCATATGATATTTATGCCCATTTGTATCCCATAATTGCATTTTTTAAATACCAGCCTTACTGTGGGTAATAAGAGAACAACCCTCCCATTTTCCCTATAAAAAAGGGAGGAGGGGGACAAAGAGGGGGTATGGGGGGGGGAAGGCTGATCAGTCAGCTCCCGTTTCTATCTATTCGTCATTTCTCTTTATTCGTCATTACGATTCTATTCGCCTGAGTGTCCACCGGGGGGGTTCGAATGCTAAGACCTAGAACAACAATCCCCACGTTCACGACGTTGTGTCCCAGTCAATCACTCCAAGGTCATGCACGAGCTATTCTCGCCATGCCTCCTGCGCGCACGGTCACCACAAGTCGGAGCTCGTGCGCATGCAAGCTAAGAATAGAAACATGCAACTAATTAACACATGTGCAAGGATTACTAACAAACAAACCTTACAATAATAATTGATATAACATGAAGACAGTACCCATACAGAACACCATGCACGTCAGATTATCCAATGATGACGTCCTTTCTTACCTTTGGCCTGTTGACGTGCCTTTTTGCCTCCTCCGTCCAGGCATACATCTCTTTTTCGCCCACATATGGATGGAGTAGCACCTCGTTCAGATGTTTGAGTTGCTCAATACCCTTGAAACCTTTTTCTGAATCGATTTTTTCGTTGGACCAATACTTTCCCTTGAAGTGATTTTCCAAATCAGTTCTTTCGAATGTGCCGTATCCTGCATACTCTGGACAGAGCAGGTGTAATGAGGCGAGACAGCCCATGCCGCCTTCATGGATGTCCACATGGGGAAGCTTTGGGGCGACAAAGCACAGACGCTGAAGGCTCGGAAAGCCATCTTCTCGCACAATGAAGCGATCGCCCTCAAGTCCTTCACTATCTTGAACAAGCTTCAGGTAAACCAGCCTACGTAAGTTTTGTAGCTGTGACAAGGCCTGGAAGCTCAAACCAGTAGATGACAGCTGCAACTCGGATAGAGTAGTATCATATGATGTAATGAAGCTAGGCAGTGAACTTAACTTTCCCCTTAGTTTGATCGAGCTGAGCATACAGGGAGCTTCAATGAAACTGAGGAAGTTACTGCCGAATTCATCTCCGAAATTGATTGATATTGATTCTAGTGCATTATTTCCAGCGAAGCGCTTTTGGAGGGAGGAAGCAAGATTATCTGAACTGGAGGGGGAAGAGGTAACAGGATATTCGCACCAGATTGTAACCTTCCTTAGTGATCTCATTTGCAGCACGAGGAGCTCGAAGCCATTGTTCTCCACCATGACAAATCCTGACAATGTCTGCAGTCTACTTTTCTCTGAGAAGAATGCACGCAGCTTATTTCTCGTCGTAGAATCTCTGATCTCCCGAGGCAGCTCGAACTTACCAAACAGGTAAGCTAACCGTGGGAGCATGAACACTTGCATAGGCAAGGTTTTGACCTCTGTCTCCCGAATGTCCAATGTCTCTAAAGATCCGAGTTTTTCAATTTCACTGGGAATCCTGTGAACATCACTGCCCCTGAGGCTTAAGTACTTGAGAAATATCAGTTTGCATATGCTCTGCAGGACCCTGTTGTCTACGCGCTCACAACCCTCCAGATCCAAAACTCGCAGCAACCAGCAATCCTGGAAATCAAAAGGCACAGTATTGCAGATTGTTAGTGACCTGACACGATCCAGTCCGATTCCCAATGCAACCCTTGCACTCTCTCTTGTTCCTTCTTGAACATATAATCGGCGAACTGGACGGGCACCACTCTTGTTTGTGAGGAGTTGATCACTACGAATCAAAGTTACAAACTCTTTTGACACTGACTGATTGACAATAAAGTCCACGACTACACCATGAACTAGGAACCCCTTGACCTTTGAATTGTTGCAAATCTGCACAGGTTCAACGATGTTCCGGTCAACCAATTCATCAAATTGTTTGTCAGCAACTTGTTCTGCACTAAGCTCACCGTCTCCCACAACCAGTCTCTCGGCTATCCATCTTCTGATTACTCTCTTCCTCTTGACCAAATGACCATACGGAAATGTGCTTAAAGATAGCAAGCACATCCTATGACCGTTGTCAGGCAGGCGGTCATACAACTGGGAAATAAGCACTCTGTTCATCTCGGTAAACACACCCGGTGCACCAGGCAGTAGATGATGTCCACTCCGGTGCAAATACTTGGCTGCGCTAATAAGTGCAAGTGGTACACCACCACATTTCCTCAAAGTGTCTCCTAAAGCATACTCAAGGGCAGGCGTACGATTTGCTCGACTGCCAACCTTTGTCCAGAATAATTCTGCAGACTCTGCAGAGTCAAGACATTGCATCCTGTAAATGTATTTACCATGGCTGCAGGTGGCTGCTACTGACTGACGACTTGTTGTTATGATTACAGTGGTGTCAGCAGGAGCACTGGCGAAGACACTTTGTATATCATACCACACATCTGATTCCTGCAGGTCATCGATGATTACTAAGTACGGATACCTGCAAAACAAATGAAAAATGGAAATTTAGTCGTATGTTTGTGCAAAACCTAGGTGTGAATTGTACCAGTTACGAAATAAGTATTGGACGAGGATTTTGGATATTATATTATCAATAAACAAAATCGAAAATGCATGCGGCACCCTGCTCACTAAGACCTTTGATCGACGGAGAAGAATTTAAACTGGACAAGAGATGCAATATTATTGTATATAAGCATTCTCTTTACACTAATACTACAAAAAACGATTTTAGAGACTGCAATTTGATTTATAGAGGTGTGCCAAATGGGCTAAGCCTGCCTCGGTAAATCAAAATTTTCAACACCTATGATACTACTGGGCCCATTACAACACCCCAGAATCCCTACGCCTCCAACTTCAACTGGGCCCTCAATTCCTACGCCAATCTGTGCATTTTAAATATTGGTAATAAGTATCTGGTAACTACAGTTATAGTTGTTTTGGCCCTATATATCGATTTTTCTCAATCAACGGATGATGTGTGTATTAGTATTTTTTAATAAAAATAGATTGGTTGCTTTTAAGCAATCAGTAATATAGAAATTTTATAATCTTTTAGTTATAAGTTTATTTAGTTGAAACTTACAATGTTTTTTAATGGCATATAAATATAACTTCAAAGAAACTGTTAGTGTCCTTAATACTTGATTGGTTAAGGGGAAAAAATTCATGAATCTTGAACTACAGAAATGTATAGTTATCGCTTATGCATTCATGCTCATTTGGTCTGTATGGTACCACATAACATGTATGTTTACTTCGGAGCTAGTTTTTATCCATTAGAAAGGATAGAAGTAGGCGCAACATATACATGCGTACCTATGGTGATTTTATCATAAAACTAGATGATGGTAAGTGAGAAGTAATTTCGTGAAGATATTTTCGTTTATTTTTAGCAACGGCAGGGACAGATGTACTTAGAGTACCTACTATATCGAGGTCTTGGTAATTAATTTCGATGCAAATATAGGGTGTTACGTTAAATAATCTCTCGTAATGGAAGGTGCAGGTAACTTTTGATGAAAATTTTGGGGTTACTTTAGATTATCCATGATAATACAACATAGTGGATTATTTATATGCAGATTTTGATGTTGCTTTAGATTATGTTGGAGTAGTTAACTTGGATGTACATGGTTTAGGGAATTATTCTATTATACTTTTAATTTTGTAGTTGCAGATGTGGATAATTTAATAGGAAAATGAAGAGTTTTAATAACAATTATTGTTAATGATGATTAGAGAGTGCCGAATTGATGACAAGGTGTTTGTGATTTTTTAAAGAATTTATAAGGTTTTTTTTTTACTACTGCTGCATCTCATCTGGACTAATGTTGCGTTGGGCCTTCAATTAGTAATAGTAAGGGAGAGGGAGAGAAATACCTATCCTGGAGGATGTCTTTCAACTTATAAATGTCGGTTGGAGTCTCGGATGGTGGTTCCATGAGCTGCTGCAGAAACCTGTTTATAAGGTCTTCCGCACTGTTGCATCCTGATGCGTTTACCCAAACGAAGGATTTAAATGGCCAGGAGTCAGAACGATTCTGGTCGACAAATGCTCTCGCGAGGGCAGTCTTTCCTAGGCCAGGGCATCCGACGATGGTGATCACTTTCACAGCCTGGGATGCTTTTGGGAGCGTCAACTCGCTAAGTTCAGCCTTGTGCTTCTCGATGCCAAAGAGTACATCCTCAGAATTGTAAAAACCAGATCCAGATGGCAACGGCGCATGTGAACCAGCAGCACTGCCTCCGCCGTAACTGCTGGATCTGGATGTGCTACAACTGTGTTGCCACTCTCGTAAGCTCCTGACCCTTTCACTCAAATGCACGACATGACGCATATGCGCGAGTACGTGGCTCCATGATCTGGTGACTCGGAGCCAGCTGTAAACATCCATGAAGTCCTCGACCTCATAGGAGAGGTCCTGCAGTTGCAGGACCCATTCGTCTGGGAGCACGCCTGGGCTAGAATCTAGCACGGCCGCCATGAGTTTCAGCTCTAGCTTGATGGAAGAGATCTCATTATTCACACGGCGTACTTCGTGTTTCATATGTTTTGAGGCCACGTATGACAGCCCTCGCACAGTCCCCATAAGGCGGCCATGGTCCTTTGGCTTCCAGCTCTCCCAACCTTCACAAGGAAATGCTGTGATATTAGAATCCTATATATATATAATGCCATATCCGAATAAGAGAAAACTAAAATATGTGGTACCTCATCATTAATAAAAAACATAAAGAATGAACATCTTTTGTTACAACATCCAATGGTCTATTCAAAATAATATGGAAGGGTACAGTTTACCTACTTGATATTTTTTTTTTGAGAATGATGAAACTATAGATAATGCTTTTTTTATTGTGCCATAGTAAGAGTGGTCCGGTGGTGTGGATTGTTGAACTTAATCCCATAAACAGCATTTCATTTTCATACATATAAATACTTATTATATATGCACGTCTTACTTTGTTCAGTTCACTAGCAGCATGTTTAGGAGTGGTCCTCTGCCTTGCATCGTGCTGCGTTCATGGTGCAGCCATGTCTATGCTTGCGACGCCACAAATGGGGCGCTCCCGCATGAGGCGGGCACGATGCAACATGAATGGGGCATGCACGTTCACCCACGTATTACGATCAAAGGACGTTTGTTGTTGTCGTGCCAGAAAAATATATATAGTTCCGTGTGTTTATCATATTCAATTTTGTGTGGGCATTCTTTCGTAGCCAATCGCCGGCTGAGCCACAAATTCTGTCAGCTGGTTGCAACATTTAGTAGCAGAGCCATTTGAAGGTGGCCTCAGGGGTTCATGTACAAATCATCCACGAGATCTCAATCACCGAAGAAGCAATCATTACAAAAAAACATTTTCAGAATACTATCTCTTTGATTAATAGAAGCGGCACATCTAGCCACCCATCCCCATAAATAGTCTGGCGACCTCCATTTCTGGGGTGCCATCGGAGATGTGGTCGATGCTGGTGGCCAAGAAGACGACGAAGGAGGCATTGGAGATTTTAGAAGATGATGATTATCGGTGTAGATCAGGTCAAGCAAGCCAATGCCCAATGGCTTCTCAAGGAGTTTGAGAACATCGGCTTTGAAGGATGATGAGACAGTGGATGACTTCATGATTGCACATCAACACCCTCGTAGACAACTTACGAACGCTCATTGAGAAGATCGAGGATGCCCATGTTCTGTAGAAATCTTGTGTGTGGTGTCGCCATGGTACTCCTAGATTGCGCTTTTGACAGAGACAGTAATAGATCTGAAGTCGTTATCTATGGAAGAACTCGTGGTGTGACTGCATGCCACTAAAAATGCTAAGGGTGCCATCATGGACATACAAGGAAGTATATAAGATTCTAGCAAAGAAGGATTGGCTGGGCAAGTACAAACATCACCTCCTCTCTGAGTAATCATCTTCATCAAGCGGTGATCGGCCAGGGGAAAGAACTATGGAAAGATGAAGGTTGGGGCGTGCACCGAGCATCGTGATCCCGTCGCCATACTACCGTCAGACGGAACACACGCTGAAAGGAAAGGTGCATTAACTTTGGCATCTACGGGCCACTGTGTGAAGGTGTGCAAGTGCATTGGATCAGTGTTGTTGTTGACCAACAACCATGGCACAAGTTAACTTTATCCCAAAATTAAAGAACAACACCATCATTCTTGATCAGCGGAGAAGGGTGGCTATGAGATACAGATTGAGGATGTTGTCCATACTTTGTTTGACACTAAGTGCACTCTACAAGCACACGTGCACACACCAAGAAATGCTGAAGACGCAGATTGTTGCACCTATGTGCTTGATGGTGAAGGCTGATGAACATGTGCGGTTGTGGCACAATTACTAGGGGTAACTGAAGTTTTAGCCCCTTGGTGAAGTTGCCAAGACGATGATAGAAGGAGTTCCATTCATGGATCATTGGAGGAGTTCTCTGCGATGGCTATGATGATAAGCCTAGATGAGAGGACGCCATCCAAGGCATCGCGCGGTAGGAAACCCAAGGTGTACATAGAATGGAGTCACTCTACCACCCACCATAATTATTGCCATCTTTGGATCTATTAGAAGCAAATAGTTAGTAGCCTAATAGCTAGAGGTTGGATTAATTGGGTTCTATAGCACTGGTGGTTGAAATAGTAGAATTATTTAAAATGCTCCTACCTTTATTTTGTCTAGACGGGGAAGCCTTGGAAGGGGCCAATGCAGTGGTGGGAGGGTAAAATGGTCTTTTGGCAACCTATTAGTTGGTTTTGACCAAGTAACAATGAGATAAATATTTTTTTTGAGAATTACACGGTACCATGTAGACGCCGACACGCATAGCTGAGTTAGCTATCAAATCATAATAGCTAATTTTATATGGTAACGTTATGGTAAAATAGTCCATCAACCCGACACGCATAGCAGAGCGTGGGCCAGAATCAATATTGGTTACTACAAATTGCCTTTGACTAATAAAAATTACTCCAAAGGAATCTGAAAGGACAAAAGGTATAGCCACCTATATATGTACTAACCCCTGTTTCATGATGTTTGAACTTTGTATCAAGGAATTATATGTTCAATAATGATTGTACTATCAATATAGATATGTCAAATACTTTTTTAAATGTATAAATATATCTAAAGTAACTACTTATATAAATTACATGTCATGGATATTAAAATAATTTCAAATATTTTGTTAATATCGTTACAATATAAATCATTCAGGAAATATTTTTCATGATCGCTGAAACATGTATTTTATCGTGGATGCATGCATGTGTATTTGATCTGTATGATAGTACAATATGTATATTTACTACAGTCAAACTTTGATATATTAATATAAAAAGTGGATAATATGGAAACATATATATACTTTATTGTTATTTTTTTGAAAAAGATAGTATCTAATAATTTAGATATAAATTCGAGAAGATATTTTAGTTTTTAACTAATGACAAAAGTTTTAATTTAGATGCAAATTTTAGGGGTTACATGGACTATTTATCATAACAACATATTTGTAATTAGATGAATTTGTGGTGTTACATAGATTAATTATCATATTAACATGTGAGCACTACCAAATTTCTTAATGCCTAAGTGGTAATTTAAACATAGATTCATAGTTTACTTTAACACAATTACAGACATGGGAAACTATTTTTGTCCATTCCTTGACCTCATCCCATCTCCATTTATATAATGGATTCAAAGGCTATTATTGTCAATGGTGATTATAGTCTACCGAATTGATGATTAAATATTTTTGATTTTTGTGAGAATTTCTAACAATTATCTATTTTTTTTAATCTAAGCATATGTTATATACTATATAAGATCTTGCAGCAGCTATTATTAGACCACATGAATCGACATTTTAGCTTTCAAATTTTATCCTTTTGTTGTAACTTTTTATTCACATGTGAAGTTGAAACTCTATTGCTCATTGCATGTCACAATGACACATGAATAGTCATTTCTGTTTGCAACACAACGGTATGAATTTGTTATATCAAATAATTATATGTGTAAAAATTATTATCTTATAAAATTTATAGTGCTTAAAAATTAAATTGTAATATAATATAAAATATTTTTTCAAACTATTTTCCACTTAAAATTTATTACCATGGAGTATTAATATAACTAAAAGTGAAATTATCAGTCATTTTTATACAATTTTTATGGAATATTTCCCACTTCATAAGCTATTAAAATAAATATTTATTCTAGTATATACATGTTTACTGTGCTTTATTGATATTGAGTTAGTTTTCATAATAGTTTAATTAGAAGTATACCCCGCGCATGCCGCTTTATTTTCTTAAAAATAAATCACTTATATACATATCATTACTATATGGTATTTTATGTACTGTGTATACATATATTTAAATTTGACTTACATGTTATTTTATTGTTTCAGATCTAGTAAAAAACTGGTAAGCTAATAAAAGAAAACTAATAGAATATTTTATTACATTATAGAGGAATAGCTGATGAAACAAATATCATATGTAGATGACTTGTATGTTAATAGATTAAAGATTTATGGTAGTTCACAAGATAGAGATGAAGATTAAAGATTATAGTATTTTACATGATATAGATACATGGACCATTTTTTTAATTAATAAGGGATGACATGGACTTAGTGAGAAATGATGTGGACATCTTGCATGAAGAGATAGAACATTTAGTGGGGTCACTTAGTGGAGAATGATGTGGACACCTTGCTTGAAGAGAAAATCATCTAGTGGGGTTTAACTTTATAAGAGTATAAAATAATATTCATCTATATGTAGAATTGAGATATATTTTTGTTTTTTATATAACAACTGAGATGAATAATTTAGTTACAATTAAAATGTTTTACATTATAATTTATTTCATAGTAGCAAAGGTGCGTGATTTATACAAAATATTATGGTGTTACTTTAAACTATCTTCAAATGTTAAAGACGTGTAATTTAGATACAAAATTCAGGGTTTTATGGAAGTATCTTTCATAATAGCATATGTGTGTAATTTATATGCTAAATTAGAGGGTTATTTTGAATAATCTTCATTATTGAAAATTTGAGTAATGTATATACAAATTTAGGGTGTATTTTTACTTATATTTTATAATTGCCGGGTGGGTAATTTAGATGCAAGATTAGGAGGTTACTTGATTATATAATGGCAGAGGTGGGTAAATTTTAAAAATGTAGAATAGATGGAATGGTTATTAATATTGATGGTGGTAATTAGAGTCTATCAAATTGAAGGCCAAGTGTTTTTCATTGCGGTAATTCTAACTTGCATTCGAATGTTTCTCTCCCTCCCAACACTCGATTCGTTTTCTTCTGCAAATCTGGCGTCTCACTGTTCATCTTCTCTAACTCCGGCGGGCTTAGAATGGGCCGGTCGGGGGAGGCAGGCCGGCCAGGCGGTGGGGACGGCGGCTGGGCGGTTAGGGGCCGTGGCGGCGGTGGAGGCATCCGGGCCAAGTCAAGGTGGGGGCACCGTGACCAGAGCTCGCTGCGGAAGCCAGAGATTGGGGAGGGGAAGAAGGAAGCGGCGGCGGGGCGGTGGGCAAGGAAGAAGATGAATAGTGCAAATAAAATCAAGTGTTCCTCCCCTCTCAAAACACTCGAGCCTCAGCTAGACAGACCCTTTCATTATTATGAGAGTTTCTGAAGTTTTTTTTTCTTAACGCTTCTAGTGAGAGTTATAATGGAGCCTTTGTTAGAGCCTCTAATTCGTAATGGTAAGATAAGATGTACTGAAATAAACCTTTGAATATATATTTGTAATCAGAAATAAACCTTTAAATATATATTTGTAATCAGATGAAGCATGTTGTACTAGTGCTGAAGCACATGCAACTAGTTTTTTTGTAACACTAAAGACTCTCTGTACTAGCATGGAATCTTCCTTTGGTGCTGATAGAGTGACTGATGTGCAATAATGGAAAAAGAAAAAGGAGTACCTGGATTCAGCATGTGAGAAGAGTATTCCGATGATAGAGTTCTTATCCTGACGGCAACAAATGTTTGGCACTTGTCAATACGTAGGCTAAACTCATATATGCTTGGGCGCAAAGAATTTAAGGTTTAAAGAGGTAGTTAAGATATAGAGTATAGCACGTGCAGTAATGGTGGTGGTGTGGCGGTGGTAGAAGGAAAATTGTGTACCTGCTGTCACCTTGTTTGTTAAAATCTTCTGTTAAATCAGTTTCTCGGATGCCATGTTCATCTGGGCCTGTCCTTGAGATCGAATGCGCAGAACTTCTTTCATTGTCACCATCGAAACTAGAATTCACCAATTTTATGTTGATGATAGGATGGCAGGGATGCATGCTAAAGGCGTCTAGCAACTTATACTTCGCCACAACTTTGCTGGCCTCGTCGGCATCAGTACCGCCAATCTTTGCAGAGATCACTTCAAGTCCTTTCAAGTTCTCAAAACCAGCATTAACTGGGTTATATAGCTGGATTGTGTTAGCACTGAAACCCAGCTTGACCAATTGGACAGTATGCATAGCTCCTTCCTTGAACTCCAGGCATGGTGCAGCACAAATGAACTTGAAATACTTGAGAACTGGGAATCCCTCTTTGTTAAATTGGATCCCTGCTTCAGGGGCGGTACTTACATAAAGCGAGAGAGCAGTTAGGGCATGCTGTCTTTCGAGAATACCAACATCGGCGCTCGAGAGCTCCTTAACTGCAATCCTTAAAGTGCAAAGATTATTTCTGAGTTGTCCAACCAACCTCGGAAGGCTGGGAAATATTAAAACCCTTGGGGATAAATCAAGTCTCTCGAGACAAGTCGGTGGAGACGATATACTGTTCAAGCCATCATATGGAATGGCCCTGCTTGAAGATAATCCACCATCAAGAATCAGGGATTTGAGGTAGCTGAGATTCTCCAGAATGTTAGCGAGATATTCCATGTTGCTAGAGAGACGCTTGTCAGGTACACCAGAGCAAGTTATGTGTAGATCCTGCAAATTTGTTAGCTTGTAGAGATTGAACACACTATATCTTGAGGCAGTGCTGAAATTGAAATTGCCTAGACTGCGAAGTGATGTCGTGAATCTAATCCAATGGGGCTGACCAATCTCACATTGTAGGATGTCAAGGAGTAACGAAGAATCAAATCGAGAAGTAGTTGTAGATGATTGAGCAGCATTGGTTGAGCAACTATTGATGATGCCTAGAGTGTGAAGTAATGATGAGACCAGGACACTCGTGTACACATAAGGCACAGTCCTATGGTGCAGATAAATCTCAACCGGGAGGTGGAGGTGGATCAAATGCTTCAAGAGAACAATATCTGAGGGCACAACTGCCACTCTTGCATATATTTCAAGAGTCTCTAAATATTGCAACTGCCGAATCTTTGCGGGGAGTTTGACTGTCATATTGCAGTCAATCTTCAGATATCTTAGTCGAAATAATTTATTGATCCTGGTGAGGTCAAAAGTCGTCTTGTCTTGATCAGTCCAAACATGAAGAATCAGAACTCGAAGGAGTGAGTACTTCAAAATGGAAGGTACACATTTGAAGAATCCAGAAAACATTAATGACCGAACTTGTGAAATTCTGAAGCTATCTGGTATCCGTGAACCTTTTGCACCTCCAAAATTAACTGACAGTCGGCGAACCTTGTCAGAAGGCAATGCATTTTTTTCAGAACCATTCACGACAGTGACGAAATTCTCGTCATTGGATCTCTCTGTAATAAGATCGGATACCATTTGATCAACTGTACATGATAGCACCTCACCATTAGAACTGGTATCAAGTTGTTGAATCATTCCTCGGATGATAAGATCATCAAAATAGCCCTCTGCAACTTCCCACATGTTTTGTGTTCCTGCAACGACAAAACCTTCAGCTACCCATTGCTTCACCAAATCATCCTTCCTGATCACGTAGTCCTCTGGATACATTTTAAGATACATCAAGCATTTCTTCAAATGAGTAGCAAGAATGTTGTAGCTAAGATTTACAGCTTCTTTTGTCCTTTCATAAGTATAAATGAATTGCGATTGTTGATCATCACTATGAGGTCGCATGTTATATATATTATCCATGCGATGGCCACAGCAAGCCAATGCAATGTCCTCAACTTGTGTTGTTGTTATTATTCTGCTGTGACAATTACCCTCTGGGAAAGCTTGACAGATGAGATCCCATACTGATGTTGAACACAAATCATCAATTATAATGAAATACCTGCGATGTATAATTGTAGATCCGATCAGTGGTGCACAATTTTGGTTACGTAATGAATAGAAAAATATTTGACAACGTATGTTGCGGTGGAAATATTACTATTACCATTTAGATGCTCCACCTTAATTACCCGACTTGCTAGAAAAAAGATCAACAACAACAACAACAACAAAGCCTTTAAGTCCCAAACAAGTTGGGGTAGGCTAGAGTTAAAACCCAGCAGAAACAATCAAGGTTCAGGCACGTGAATAGCTGTCTTCCAAGCACTCCTATCTAAGGCTAAGTCTTTAGGTATATTACATCCTTTCAAGTCTCCTTTTATTGCCTCTACCCAAGTCAACTTCGGTCTTCCCCTGCCTCTCTTCACGTTAGTATCCTGGCTTATGATTCCACTACGCACCGGTGCCTCTGGAGGTCTCCGTTGGACATGTCCAAACCATCTCAACCGGTGTTGGACAAGCTTTTCTTCAATTGGTGCTACCCCTAATCTATCACGTATATCATCGTTCCGAACTCGATCCCTTCTTGTATGACCGCAAATCCAACGTAACATACGCATTTCCGCGACACTTATCTGTTGAACATGTCGTCTTTTCGTAGGCCAACATTCTGCACCATACAACATAGCAGGTCTAATCGTCGTCCTATAAAACTTACCTTTTAGCTTCTGTGGTATCCTTTTGTCACATAGGACACCAGATGCTTGCCGCCACTTCATCCACCCTGCTTTGATTCTATGGCTAACATTTTCATCAATATCCCCGTCTCTCTGTAGCATTAATCCTAAATATCGAAAGGTATCATTCCTAGGCACTACTTGACCTTCCAAACTAATATCTTCCTCCTCCCGAATAGTAGTGCTAAAGTCACATCTCATATACTCAGTTTTAGTTCTACTGAGTCTAAAACCTTTGGACTCCAAAGTCTCCCGCCATAACTCCAGTTTCTGATTCACTCCTGTCCGGCTTTCATCAACCAGCATTGCTAGAAAAAAGATAAATCCTATAAACTCTTACAATAATAAGAAATATCTACCCTTTAATTTGGTAGACTATAATCATCGCCATCAATAATAGTCATTTTAAATAATAGTCATTTCAAATATACTATTTGTATAAAAACATTACCCACCTCTGCAATTTAAAAATTAAGTAAAAATAATCCCCTAACTTTGAATCTAAATTACCTACCTCTAACCTTATAAAAATATTTTAAAATTGCAACATAATAGTACCCATGTTTACCATTATGAAATATAAAACACAAAGTAAACCTTACATTTGCATTCAAATTATCCGTACGGTGCAAATGAAATGAAATCTAGTAAGGGTCATCTGTGATTTTTGTGGTTGATTGGTAGCATGATCAAATAAACTACCATGGTTTGCTAGAATACAAGTATTTAGTCAATTGGATGCAAGGATGGCTTGGACAAAGGCTACATGATGATCAAGTGATCAACACCTCTAGGAAGACCAAGGAGCACTGTTGAAGATCATAGAAGAATTGTAAGGAGTCCAAGACATAAGTGGAAGAAGCCTAGACGAGAAGACATGAAAAAACGAAGTCAAACCGGCTCTGTCTAGAATAATCGGAATTCTTCGGTAGTACCTTGGCAGAGACACCTGTGCTTACGCTCACCGGAATTCTTCGGTGATACCTTGGCTGCAACAGAACCTAAGGCTGCATGCCAACACCTGAGGTAGATGCTTTACGGACGAAATTTTTCCAACTATCAAAAACTCTGGTGATTCACGAGAGAGAGGGCACTAAAGAAAAGGCTACAACCATAGTGTTTATGAGGAAGGATCTATAAGGCTTAATATAACAATTATGGATGTAATGTTTCAGATATGATATAATGTTTTAGTATAAATATATAGATTATTGATATGATATAATTAAATTACCAACATTGATATGATATAATGTTTCGGTATAAATGTATAAATTCATTTGAAACAGGCTCCCCGTGACGTACACCTGAAATCTTCCCACCCACAAAATAAATTAACCAAACCATTCTACAATATTTTTTCCCGCCGAACACAACAATTACAATCCTATGAGTTGTTGAGTTACAACTGGATCTGTAAAGCAGTTTCAACTAGCATCTGATTAATTACTTGTTCAAAAATCCCACCTCCCACAAACCTGACAAATCTGACACACAACATGTAGTTACAGAACTAGATGTTATCAAGTTATAACATGATCTGTACAGTTACAACTAGCGTATGATTATTTTTTTATTCGAATTTCACTTCCCACAACGTGACACATCTAACACACCTACATGCAAGGAATTTTTCTTGATTCAGTTCTTTGAAATTCTATTTCTCACAAATCATAACTCCTATCCCTGACCCGTTTGAAGATTGTTGTTAACAAAATCGTGCCAAATAAAATCAGATCCATGAAGACTTTATTTTGACAAAGTTTTCAAAAATATTTTTTATTAAAGAAAAAATAAAGGTTTTTAAACACAACTACAAAAGTATCAAAAATATTTTCAATAAAAGGTTTTTAAACACTACAACCAAATAAAACACGCAATTAGAAGATGTACTACTACTCAGTTATAACTTAGTGTAGTTTGTAGTTATAATTTTTTTTGTAGAGAAACCATTCTCAACAAAATAAAATGACACAATTATAATATGAATTCTACCCCGTTACAATTTAGTGAAGTTTGTATCTATAGTTCAAATTTTTTAGAGAGGAAGGGTTACATTGTCTCAGAAACACAGTTGCAACCAAAGTAAATGACATAGTTATAGTATGAGTTACTACCATATTACAACTTAGTATAGTGTGTAGTTACAAATTGGTTTTTAGAGACCCGATTCACCTACTGCACCACGCACTGTTGTCGCCCACCTCCAACTGCCCTGCAGCGCGGTAAGGACTCGTTGGATGTCCATGGCCGCCGCCGCGGCCCCAAAGTTCCATCGAGACCCTGCCGCACCCACGGCGACCCCTTCTCCTCCTCCCCGCATACCCCCAACCCCTGCCATGGCCATGTTCACCCCTGCCACAACCTGGTCCGATTGCCATCCTCCACTGCCCTGCTCCGTTGACATCACCACTACCTCCGCCTCGCCGCCGTCTCCCGTCCTCACCACCTGGCCTGCCTGCCTCACCCAATTTTTCTTCTAAGCCCGCTGGAAATGGAGAATGACAAAGGGATAGGAAGGCAAGAGAAGAGAAAAATTGAGTCTTGGAGCACTCAAGTGTTGTACAGCTTTTCTGAACAAAAAGGAAAAACAAATGACAGCAGCAGGGAGGAGGTGAGACCCGAATGGTTAACCGATGCTGTAAAAAGTTCTTCCTGTAGTCAAATAATTAAAAAAACAATTTATAACTACAAATGACATTGAGTTGCAACTGAGTAGTAACTCATACTACTGTAGTTGTGTTTCTAAGACATTGTTTCACAGAGATAATTAACAATTAACAGTTATTTCTATAATCAGACAATGACAAAAATCTGATCAGTATGGAAATAATTAACAAATGATAATTTTTCTATAGTCACACATTGAAAAAATTTGATATGTAATAACATAAAGAATATTAATAATTTATAATTCTTTCTATAATTAGGCAACGGCAAAAACCTGACATGTATGGACAAAACCCATTAACAAAACATTCTTTGTATAGTCAGACAATCACAAAAACCTGATCTATATTGACATTAATACAATTAACAAATAATATTTCTTTCTATAGTCAAATAATGATAAAACCAGATATGTATTGACACAGAGACAATTAAATATTTACAATTCTTCGCATAGTTAGACAATGAACAAAAAATCTAATTTGTATTGACACAAAGATAATTATGAAATGACAAAAAAAGTGATCTGTACTGAGTAAGAGACAATTAATAATTCACAATTGTTTCTATGATGAGGCAACAACAAAAACCTGATCTGTATGGACAAAAATGATAATTAACAAAAACCAATTCTTTGTATAGTCAAACAATCACAAAAATCCGATCTGTACTAATACAAATGCAGATTCTAAGACAATATAACTGTTTCTCCCTACCCAAAAAATAATTTATAACTACAAAATACACTAAGTTGCAACTGAGTAATAACTCATATTGTTACTGTGTGATTTTTATTTGGTTGCAGTTACAATGTAACTATTTCGAAAGAATTTATTTACGACTACACACTACACCAAGTTGCATCTGAGTAGTAACTCGTGTTGTAATTGTGTCCTTTATTTGGTGTTTGAAACAATTTTTTTTTTCTTTTTAAAATTATAAAAAAACTTCTAAAAACCTTTGTCAAAACATAGCCTTCATGGATCTCATTTTGTTCCACATTATTTTCAACAGTAATCTTCAAGCGATTCGTCAATCGGACTTGCGGTTTGTGAGATATTGCGTTTTAAAATTTTGAATCATAAAAAAATTCCGTGCATGCATGTCAGTTGTGTCAGGTGAGTTCATGGAGCGTAGTATTCAAATATTAATCAAATAAATACTCCTAGAGTTCCCAACGAAGCCACCCAATCTAGAATTTTTATCTAGAATAGAAAAAACTAATCTCCAATAGTTCTCAATCCATGCAGAAAAATAGACCGATCACGTGGATACATGCGCGTGTCTCCGACGCGCGTATCCATCTGCTAATCTAAAGGTGGAAGGGCAAATGTACAAGAGAGAAAACATATATAAAAATGGTTCGGATAATTTATAAATAGTATAGGATTCCTGATGTAAAATTGTTATATATATATATGTTAGGAATGAATTATTGAAAACAATTGGAGATTGTGTTATTTATTCCTTCCAATAATTTTCGGCGAGTTAAAAAACTCTATGGTTTTAGGAAAAAAAATTGTTGGGAACTCTTGGAGATAATCTTACCAATGAAGTTGTAACTTAGAAGTAGATAGATTTGCAATTATTTTTGTTTCGGTGGGAACACTGGACAGCGACAGAATTAAAAAACAAAACAAAAGGCGGGCCGGAAACCATGAGCTCACAACTTATTTTGGTGGGAGCACTGAGACGGACAGCAAAATTAAGAAAAAACAAAATAAAAAGTACGTGGAATAGGGATGTGAGCATAGCACATACAAGCTGAGCTCGGTATACATATAGAGAGAGGGAGGAGCGAACATACGTACGATTTTCCATAGAGATGTTGTTTTATTTTCTCGACGAGCTTATGAATATCAAACCGCTCTGGCTGTCGACCCTTAATTTGAGAGAGCAGACTGGTGAGAAGCCTTCTGGTATCTGGATATCGGGACATGCGTATAAATGCTCGGTGATGAAATCTTCCTCCATAGTAATGATACAGAGTTCTGGCAAGTGTTGTCTTCCCAACACGTGAAGGTCCTAATATTGGTACCACTTTGAGCTGTTGCTCCTTGTCGAAAGCTACCATGCTGGCGAGTTTCTTCACGGCATCTTTGAGGTCTTCAGGCTTACTCTGCTTGCCGACTGTCTTCTTAAGGTGATCATCGTCTTCAACCTCAGAAGAAGAATGGAGGCGTCGCTGTGGCTCTCCATGCGGCCATGGCTTGTCGATGGTTTCCAGAGAAGCAGCCTCTGGCATGGGGCCTTTCAATCTAGCAGGCTGCTGGTTACTGCTTTCAGACATTATTTTTGCATCTTGCAAACGAGAACTGAGTTCTGAGATATATTGGGCATTAAGGGGCCGCCTCTGTCGCTGCTTCATCATGGTTGCCAAAATAGATTGAGTATACCAGCAGCCACTGAAGTGCTGCGCCATGTCGATGTAGTCCTCGACGTCGTAAGAAAGTTCCATCAGTTCCTTCCTCAGGGACATGTGTATTAACGTAGGATAGTCATCCACAGAAGCACCGATGATGGAGGTGCGTAGTTCTTCGAGAATATTTCTGTGACGATCCACTTCTCCATGTTGTGGCCTCTGCTCGGAACCCAGCAATTTGCCCAGGATCTCGAGGACGGTGTGTGGATCACCACGGCCCTCCGTATATGGTGTCGCCTGCGGCGGCATGAAGATTGAGCACAAGAAGATTATTACACCCTACAGAGTTAAAGACAGGGCATGCGTTAATCACCGGCCAACAACGAAACAGAAAATATTTATCATGCACAGTAGGGTAACTTACCGGATATATCACTTGTCAGGACGACTAGTATGTTCTGTATATAAGAGCCGAGAACAAGGAGGTGTATTCTTGGACATTAACACCACTTGATGGAAGTTTTACATTTGTACCGTACCTTTATAGGAGCGGGGGGAAGAACAGGCACACCGACGCTTGAGAGGAAGTTATACAAACAAGCACTCCAAGTTTGTTCAATTCGTAGTTGCTAATGAAAATGCACAATGCCACCCTGGCTTATACAAATTACACACTGGTCCCTGCCTTTGCAATATGCATTTTTGCCCAACAGTTTCAGATTACTCTCTCTGGAGTCTTCAACGCACTCCATCCGTCCGAGTTATAGGTTTTTTTTTATACGACAATCAAATGTAACTTTGACTACATTTTAGAGAAGAGCATCAACATTTGAAAATATATTTCATGATAAAACTAATAATACTATTTGACATGATAAACATTATTATTACCTGTTGTACTAATTTGGTCAAACTGATTTGAGACAGAGAGAGTATATGCATAATAGTTTAAAATAACATTCTAAATTTGCACCTAACTAAACTACCCACATTGTCAGTAATTATTAACGATAAGGGTAGCTACCATAGTTTGCATTTAAATTACCCTCCTTTGCCCTTCACACCGTCTCTCCGCCTTCCCCTCGGCTAGGACAGGGCCGTTGCCGGCGCTTATCTCCAAGTAACCCCGGCCACGGCACCTTGATACCCAGCGGAGAGACCCCTCCTCACGCCCTCACTTTCCGACCCATCATTACGACCTTCGCCGGCGTCACCGCGCCGACGGGTCCAAGTCTTCGGATACCCTCGTTGAGCTTGCTTGCGTCCTCATCCAAAAGCCTCTTGGACAAAGGTATCACATCTCTTACTATACAGGGCCCGGAGACGGTTACAGAGTTCATTGTTGTTCAATAGAACTTTAGCAAATCAATAGATAATTATTGTTCATTAATATTGTTAACCTGCTGTGTTAATGTAATGACCCCAGTGAGCTTTGTGGCTGGATTCGCAACTGCCAACGAGGGTCAGGAGGCCAAGCGAAGCTCCCACAGGTCGTGAGATAGATGATGTAAAATGCCTGAACCTACCCACACACCCACCAGGTCCCTGTGCTCGATTTATTTAAAGATGTGATGGCCAAAGTTTTTAGTACTAGTCAGCTTGCCCATGTTTGGTGACTTGATTGATACAATCTCAAGATTTATCAGCTCAGTGTCTTAGAGGTACTCATATAATTAAGGTGTGAATGAGCACCTGTTTTAAACGAACTTTAGCGTCGATACTGTGATTTCATAATTAAAAAGAAAATAAAGATCTATTAAAAGTATGCATTGGAGACCATATTGGGATCTACAGAATATCAAGTATTTGTAATTGGAAGGTAAAATATCTTGAAAAGATCAAAGAAGCTTAAATAAAATACATCAAACCTTTTAGACCAACCGCGGAATTACTAGACAAATGCTTTAGCCGAATGCACTTCAATGAATTAACATGTCAGTGTGCGATCATGACAAGTATAGATAAATTATATTTATATTTTACAGTTATGTTCCTTGGTGAGGCCAGTGTGCACATACGTGTCTTGAAAAAAAAATCAGGCTAGCAGCCTGGCAGTTTCTATTTATTTCTACGCTCGTCTCATGCAGTGTATGTACACACAAACAGGAGGAAACCAAGACTGACGCCCGCAATGCAGTATGTATGTCCTCCTTCCTCCCTACTAGCTATGCCCCTACCGCAAGTCTTGAATATCAGTTCCCCCACCATTGCAACCAAGCAAACACCCTGCCAGCCAACCAGAATTTCATGCTGATCGAGGGCTCTGCATCGTATTTTTGAGACCAGCAATAAAGACATGGCACTAGTAGTAGCTGGTCCCATTGTTGGTGCGGTGTTGAGCAGCACCCTGCCGAAGCTCTTATTGCTGATAGAAGAAAAACTCAAGAAGAAGGCTGAGCTCAAGGATCAAGTAGAATCCATGGAAAGGCAGCTTCGCTCTATCAAAGCTTGCATCCGGGATCATAACAAGCCGAATCACAGTAATATCACTGAGTTGCAGATAGACTGGATCAGAAGTCTCAGGTGCTTGGCATATGACATGGAAGACTGCATCGAGAGCTTCAATGATGCCAAGACGGTAAGCCGTAAGAAGCTCCAAGAAAAGATCCGTCAACTCAAGGATGCAGTCAAGGAGACAAACGATTTGTACCAAAGTATGCCTAAAGCACCAGACCAGCCGCAGCCACAAGACGGCGCTTCAAGCTCCAATACAAGAGCCCAGCCCTCCTGCAATCCGCAAAGAAGAGAGCAAGATCAGGGCATTCCTCTGGTTGACCTCGTGGGCAAGGAGGAAAACATCCGTGAGCTACTGGATCTCATGCGGATATCCCAGAGCCCATTGGAGATGAAGCTCAAGGTGATCGTGATCTCAATTGTGGGCTTCCCTGGCATAGGGAAAACTCTTCTCGCCAACCAAGTGTACGATAAGATGGTTTACTACAGTCAATCTCGGCCGAATAACAGTTTCTCTCGTCAGGTTTTGATTGACGCAAGGACCACCAAGGAGAAGCAAGTGGTTCTCGAAGCGATACTCCAAAAATTACTCAAACAAGGGGTCCAACAAGATGGAATGGGTACGAGAGCCTCCAACAAAGGTCGTCAACATCCAGCCGAGAGAGGGGTCCATGCCGATCCAAGTTCTTCCAACCTGGACCAACAGTACATGAATGGCATACAGGAACGTCTCAGTTCTTGCATAGGAACCCACAGGTGATTACATTCTCCTCTTGTTCATTACTCCTGAGATGTTTTAGGTCCCAAAATAATTTACATTTTAGGAATTTTAGTACGGATTAACAGAGCTGTGAAATGCATCGTGACCATGGATGCGCCTACTAATTGTTAGGAGTTGTCCTAACTTTCAAGAGGTGTAGAAACTAGCGGGAAAGGACACTGATCAATCACCAATTCGTTTTAAGTTAGTATTAGATGCCACATGCATGAAGGAGAGAGGTCAAAAACCTTTGAGCTAGCAGGAAGAGAAGAGCTAAACACTTTGGGTGTCCAAATACAAGAGAGACATAACTCCTCTATCTCCTCTTGACAAGAGAGGGAATATTTGAACAAAGGCTACCATACGTGTGCAGCATACACAGGATGAAATGACATCTAAGAGTCGTACTTGACTCTTATTGTTCTAGATGTCCTAAGTGGTAAAATGATATATTCTGTAGGACAAAATCTACATCTTAGAATGTTAAGGATTATGTAACATGAGCTTACCTAACTTAAGCTTAGGCTTCAACTCAATACATAGCAGACATAGAAAAAATAAATCATCAAAATTCTAATTAGATGTCCCCAATGAAACCAATGCATTAATCATCACAATACTTGCTAGAAAAAAAATATATCCTCAAAATTATAACAAAAATCAGACCTGTCTAGTTGTCAATTAAGTAGACTCTAATCACCGTCGACAATAGTAGACATTAGATCTATCTTGTTGTCCAAAAATTAGCCACCTATGGATGTAAGTAAAACATGAATAAATTTTTAAATTGTCCACCTACAAGATAAAGAAATATGTTATTTTTAAAAAAAAAAAGATTAAGAAATATGATTTGAAGTACTGAAATCGAATTACCCACCAGTTACTATGATACATGATCAACATAACTTTTAAATTTGCATATAAATTACCACTTTGTCATTATTAAAGAAGTAAAATATTCAATCAAATCCACATATAAATTATCATCTAAATCCTTATTTTCTGGACGTATAAAAGAAGAGTTAATAAAAGACAATAAGAACAAGAGTTTCAACTTAATTACTTGAGCACAAAAAAATTTGGTTGTAATTAATAAGATTAGAAGATTTGCTAATTTTGATTTTTCCTTTGTAAATTTCCTTTGTCTTTTTTGTTACAGATACTTGATCGTGGTTGACAATGTGCAGTCGGAAGAGGTTGGCAGATATATAACATCAGCCTTTCCGGAAAACGGAACGGGCAGCAGAATCATCATAACTATGACTGTAGATCCGGGCTCGGGTGAGGAAAGATGCTGTTCTGCTGCTGGTCACGTGTCCAAGATGAGGCCACTTAAAGCTGAAGAGTCAGTGAACACGTTTCTGAAAGAAGCTGTCGAGGGACAGGGACGACAACCTCAGATTGCAGTTGAGAATGAGGCAATGCCATCACCGACCATCCAAAAGATATGTGACGGCGTACCACTTGCCCTTGTTAACATATCTGAAGTTCGGCAAGGAGAATTAATGCAGTTTCATGTTGATGAAGCGTGGAGACAGCTCGGTGAAGTGGAAGAAGCGAGACGCTGGCTAAGTAGGATGATGTTGCATGTGCTTCCCCATTGCTACAACAGTCTAAATACGCATCTCCAGGCCTGCTTGCTATATTTTGCCATGTTCCCACGTGGCCGCACCGTCAGGCGGGGATCTCTAATAAGGCGATGGCAGGCTGAAGGAAAAGAACTCGGATGCACCACAACTGCCCAAGGAACTGAAAACTTGCAGGCCCTCATCAAACGAAATTTCGTTTGGCCTGTCCAGGTGAGCATGAATAATCGAGATGCTGAACCAGAAGTGAAGACATGCCAGTCTCCTGGAATGATGCTCGACTACATCATAAGCAAGTCCAAGTCGGAGGAGTTCATCATGCTTTCATGTGATGAACGGGAGACAAGAGACATGCGCCGGCTTTCTCTCCACACTGGTGTTCCATCATCAGATGGAGGAGGAGAACTCGGGGTGTTGCGTGACAAGCGCATGTCTCGTCTCCGGACTCTGGCGATATTCCGTGCAAACGAGCAAACCAGGCGTCTCAGTTTCGAGAATTGCGAGGTGCTCCGTGTGCTGGATCTCGAGGCATGCCATGGCCTGTCTGAAGATCAGCTCAAAGAAATTTGCAAATTTTTGGAGTTGCTCAAGTATCTGAGTCTCCCGGGTAGCATAACACAAGTCCCGAGTCATATAGCGAAGCTGAAGCTATTAGAGACCCTCAACCTAGGTAAAGAGACGGTGGTCACCGTGCCTGTTGATGTCCTCTGGCTGCCCTACCTGAAACATCTCCTTGGCAAATGTGAGCTCTGTGCCGATTACAGCTCCAACAAGAAGCTCATAAAGTTCCTGTCTGGAACTGGAAGAAACAGGGATGAATACAGTAAGCTGGAGACGCTAGCGGGATTTGCTATTGGGAAGAGAAAAGGATTTCCACAACTGGTGCGTCATATGGTCCAGCTGGGGAAGGTGAAGGTATGGTTCGATTCTGGTGCAGATTTCAGTAGTTTTGCTGCCCATCTTGCGGAAGGGATTAAGGAATTCTGTCGTCGCGCATCAACGGACGCGAATGATGGCGTCGGTAGTGCCTCCCTGAAAATTGATTTACAGCACCGGTCGGCAAATCTGCTGGATTCTCTGGGTGTGACTGGCTGCAAGCTTTTCTACCTCAAGGTCAACTGCTGTGATGCGATGAAACTGAGACGACTACCTGCATTCATTGCCAATCAGGACGTTATTACAAAGCTGTGCCTGTCATGGATTACTCTCGACGGGAGTCAAATTCTAGCCACTCTGGGTAGTTTACAGGGGTTAAAATACCTGAAACTTGTTGCAGATAACATTGAAGGTTCCATCGTCGACCGAGGAGTTGGGCAGATCCAAAGGGAGGTCGTCATAAAACATGAGGGTGAAAACTCTAGAAGAATACGTGAGACTCAATTTCAGAGTCTGCAGCGGATGTGCCTTGTGGCCCGTAGAAAGCTGGATCGGATAAATATCGAGCGTGAGGCTCTGTCGAAGCTTGTGTCATTTCACCTCATCTACAAGGATCTCGATGTTCCTTCGGCCGACCAAATCTCAGGCCTCAGGACTCTCAAGGAACTGGCACTCCATCCAGAAGTCAAATCCGAAACAAAAGGTGCTTGGCGCAAAGCAGCACTAGCCCTCCCTATGAAGCCCCAAGTTCTGTTCAGCGTAAGCCCCTAATAATGCATGGATCCATTTGACTGGTTAGTGTACTGTCCCGCTCTCCTGCTACTTTTCTGCCTACCCTGATCCCAATTGCATACTACCGCACACTAATGCATTCAATCCCTATTAACTTAGGCATCGGTTTCGTCGAACGTCTGGCAAGATACGCGGTGCACTTCAACAGTCCTGTCATGCAGGCGCTACAAGATGCATTTATCTCTCTCCTTCCACGCCGACTGGTTTTTATTTCAAAAAATAAAATTGGATTCTAAGTGTGGTAGCTACTGTCTTTGTATCGAACTTTCTTAATTTGAAGTTTTACGTGTGACGTGTAAATTTCTTTTGCGTCAACGGTCCTTACATTTTCCCGTGAGGTCCATGTCCTCCATTAAGCAATTTATTACGAATTATATATGTTGCACCCTGAATTGAACATAATATACTTGGTTAATAAATTTCTTATATGCCATTCTCTTCATCTTAAAATAAATAATGCTAGCTCTGTTTCAAATTATTAGTCCATTTGATTTTTTTAGTACATCCATTTTGCTATATGCATCTTGATAAATAGTATATCTAGATACATAACAAAATGGATGAACTAAAAAAAAATCAAAGCGGCTTATAATTTGAAACGTGGGAAGTACTACAATTTATGCAGGTTTTTGCTACAAATTATTAGACTTGACAATTGACCTCTGTGCCTCTAAATAAATCTGTTAATGAACCTTGAAAAAGTAAAAATACAACATAACTAAATGCACGTGCAATATAGACGGGAAGAATCAAACAATTAAATATGCATGCACCTTGGGAATGGAAACGAGGCAACTAGGACCGTCTTGATGGAAGTTTCATCTTCATTTAATAGACTGTAATATAAACATTTTTATGACATAACATTTTTGAGAAGAGAGAGATGAAGTGAGTTTATCTAGGTAAAACTCTCTTGCCAAAACACCAGATAATAAGTACTCCTAGGTAGAGCTGTAAGACTTTACATGTGGTCCTCCGCTTACAAAAGGAAAGCATTGTAACTCATTATGCTAGTTTGTTCCACTCTCTGCTCTCACGCAACAGGAATGAGGCGTTGCAAAAGGGAATTACAGAGTTGAGTCACACTCAATCCCGCAGACTCGTGTAGTGGTGTCACGCGCCCCAGCTGCCCTCCGGTAGTGAGAGACAACACACATGCCTTGCTTTTCCTGTCTCCAATGCAACCCGCCACGCCAGGAGACTAAAGACAGGATCAGGTGGTGGCTTACCGTCGTGGCCATCATCATCTTCGTAGCCATCCTCGTTACCGGTATTGTGCTAGCTGCAATCTTAATACCCATTGCTAGAAACCCGCAGCTTACAGCCAAAGTGGAGGACTCCCGTCTCAATACCTTCGAGTTCCACAACAGGCGGGGCGATGAGGCGACGATGATGGCGTCCATCTTCAGGTACAACGTCTCCGTCGCCCTTGCCATTGGCAACCCTAAAGCAGTGCTGAGCATCAGGCATAGGAAGCCCCTTGTAGCTACCTTTCTTTTCCACGACCGGCGACTGAATAACGTCACTGTGGTGGATGAGGGGCACAAGAACCGGCCAAAAAAGACGGAGTTGCACCTCCTACGTATAGAAGGGGAGGTCTCGTTCAATGTCCTTGGCGTTGCGGCAGCCGAAGAGCTCAAGAAGCAGCAGGCGGCAGGGCTTTTTAAGGTGGAACTGCGCCTCTCTGTGGACATAAGTGTTCTCAGGGAGCATAAATTTAGCTTGAGCTGCCCGTTGAGGCTGCAGCTTGCGCCGCCGGGCCCTGAGGTCGTCTTGTTCCATGCTGTCAACTGCATCCTCGATACACAGGATAAGTTCTACTTCTGATTTTTGAACAATGAGTTCTGCCAGTTAGTCGATCTATAGAGTGTACCAAGGACTGAACTGATATCATTTTTTTTGTTTATTATTTCTGGAGTTTCTGTACCTTTTGATTCAATGGGAACTATGGTATCCTTGTTTTCGCACAGGCTAGACTGACGGGGGCTATTCGTAAGACATAGTATTGCCATTTTCAATCACTGTGTAATCCCGTGATAAATTGAATCTTGAGTTGTGGCGGCCACATGTCTGTACTATCCACCGGGATTATGTGTCTCACGCTAGCAGAGTACGTGGATGGCATCTCTAGGGATTACCAGGGGTTAGTTTCTCTAGGGTGTCCCAAGGGCGCCATCGGACTAAGTTGTCAAGTTTCGGTGAGTTGTAATTGATTGATTCCAGTAACCATTGGGGTAGTGATGAATAGCAATAGTTTGACCAGCTTAAGCAAATGTTGTCAAGAAATTGTTCCTTTAAGTAGCATTTTTCCCTTACTTTTTACATGGGACTCAAGTTACAATTAGTTAAGCTTGACCCGTTGTTCGTGTTGCCACAAAAATGCGTCGGTTGTGGCTTTGCAGGTAGCTTTGCAGATCCGCTGGCTTCAACACTCGATCGCCAGCGTTGAGACCCGAGGCGTGCCAGTCAATTTGACCTGCAATTGACGAGGAAAAGAGAGGTTGATCAGTAACAAAAGGGTGGAACGTGCCGGCTGTGATTCCAAACAGTTCCGCTATGTGGCCAAATTTATAAGGCTACCGACTAGACAGTCGATATCCGTATGCTCATCAGATGTTAAACGATGTAAATAAGCATGATCATCAGTTCCACAGGTGAAAACAGTTAAAATCGACTAAGCATGTGAATAGAATTAACAGAGCACAGAGAGTCGATAATTGTAAACAAAGATAGGCATGGAAGCATATGAAATCAACTAAAATAACCGATTCAGGAAACAAGCGGGGTTTCAGCATAAAGTACTCAACCCGTAAGCATAAACAAATCTATAAACCCATCAAGCCTTCTCTATTACCTCTAACAGTGGGGATCGATCGGAGTCGAGGCAGTCATAATAGAGATAACAGCTTAGACTATCAGGATAAACAGATCTTAACACTTAGAAGATTTATAAAACATGCTGAACTCGTTAAAGCACAGACAATCGGCTATAACAGCCGATTCAAAGCATAGCATGCAGCCAAGGGACATATTTAACCATAAGCAAATCGTTGTTAACTTCAAGTTTCTAACCTATAGTGCTAACAGTGGGGGTCGGTCAGAGCCGATACAGCCATAATAACAGTTCTAGGTTAAAGTCCGTCAATTAACAAACCTACTTACGTCTAAACATATATTGACCGCATGCTATCTTCGATCAAGATTGAAATAAGACAGCCGATAAGGCCAGGTCCATCGTCAGAGCAAGATTAAACATGAATAAGCAGCATGGCGATGAAACAGAAAGATATGATGCCGATCTATCTCAATCTTAATCGGGCAGGGTGATTTTTGCTATAAATAGTAAAAGAACTACGTCTAGCAAGAATCGATAACTAGCAAATCTGCTAAAACAGCAAGCAAAAAACTTACTAATCTTAATAGATTTAACCGGATAACTAATCTTATCAATATTTGTACGAGGTCAGTCGGAGCTGATGCAGCCTTACAAATATTGATAAAGATCGATAACTAGCTTTACCAGAGTTATAAGTGATCGATCAAGCCGCTGCAGCCTTATAACTCTAATAGAAACCGATAACTAGTTTATATCAAAGGTAGCAAGAGGTCGGTCGAAACTGATGCAGCCTTACAATGCCGTGATATAAACCGTGACGGAACTTATAGGCAAACCAGAGGTCGGTCGGTGCCGATGCAGCCTAGCTTGTTAAAGAACTCGCCAAGATCTACTCTACTCCTACTCCTAATGCGAAAAAGTAAAGGTTTGAAGGGGTTGATGCTTGTTTGGTTGGTTGAGGGATGTGTTCATTACAATAGCCGGGTATACTATTTATTCCTGAGGTTAGAATATGAGTCCAACTCGACTCAACTCACATAACTGGACACAAAGAAAATGTCTAATCTACGATACATTCAGACTCTATTTTTCCTTATTCTAGAATCCACCACTTCCCCTTTCACCGCCAACGTTGTCTGGGATCGACCCCCCTATTGCATTAGCGCTTAGTCGATTCTGATGCCGATTCGGGTTGATCTGTCCTTTTTAATCTGTGTCCTCTCCGTCGGCCTTTGAAAACTTTCGATCCTTGAGAAACCTGTCCAAATTCTGGTGCAAACAGTTCGCTTCCAAATTAGGTTGCTCCAGGCTCTATGGAAATGGGCTTGGATGCTTTTAAATAAACTAATTAGCATCCAGAAGCTTTTCTAATAAGAGATCTTTTGATATTTAACATCCAGATCCATCCCTAGAAGAGCGCCACACGTCGGGACTATGAGTAAAGCCAAAAAAAAAATTGCTTCACCGGCTTCATTAATGTGAGAGATAAAACCTAGTAACCTACATACCTCTTACCTGAGTAGAGAAGCTAGAGCTACGGCCGCACCTCTCTTTGAGCCATCTACGTCCAAGAAAATTTGCAAACAAAACACCCGCATCAGCAGCAGACAAGCTGGTTTTCGGCCTGTGCTCCAAGAAATCGACTACGGATGACAGTGCTATCCAAAACACTAAAGTAAACAGTCAGTCACCTACCGTTTAACCTATTATTTAGGCAAAACAGTCAAAACAACCGATTAAACGAAAACAACATACCACCGTGTAGCGTCTAAACGGTATGTAAAGGAGCTAGGCTGTTTGGGCGTACAGTCGGATGAACTGATCACCTGTGACCATTGTCTATTCTCCATCCTCTCCCTATCTACGCGATAGATGCGGAGCCAAACACTACCGAAAACAGGATCTTTGTCGAGTGCAATCTATCGGGCACTCAGCAATGAGCCTGTTTGTCGAGTGTTGCACTTGGCAAACCCGGACACTAGGCAAACAGGGGCTTTGCCGAGTGTCTGACCGTCAGCAAAGAAGGACACTCGGCAAACAGTAGGTTTGCCGACAGTCAGACACTTGGCAAAGAAGGACACTCGGCAAACTGTTGGTCAGACACTCGGCAAAGCCAGGCACACGGCAAAACGTGACAGCAGCTAACGGCCAGTCCCTTGCCGTTACTGTTTGCCGAGTGTCGCAAACGGACACTCAGCAAAGGCATACATTTGTCGAGTGTCAGACCTAGACACTCGGCAAAGGCATGCCTATGCCGAGTGTGGAGCCTGACACTCGACAAAGAAGCCGGTTTACCGAGTGTCATTGGCTGGCACTCGGCAAATTATTTTTTTCACTTTTGACCTCCAAACTTTTTCTGTAGTCCTCCTACAGTACTTGGTACCCCATGTTCAAATTTGGTACATTTCTCAAACTTTTTGTTATATTTCTTTAATTTATTTTATTTACTTGAATTTTTTGGGATAAGTCAAATTTGAACTGCAGGTCACTCGAATATTAGAAAAAAATGAATGGAAACATTATATCCATGTTATTGATTCTAATGTGAGGCCGTATCCAGGGACAGACCAGAAATTTTGAACATTTTGATCACAAAACATGACCACGAACTTGCGGGCGAATTGTTTTTAATTTCTATAAAAAGCAAACAAAGTCCGAAAATCATGAAACTTGTCGAGATGTCACGATATCCTATGTGGAGGCTGTGATAAAAAATTGAGAAGGTTTCACGCAAGTTGTGACGAACGATGCTTACAAACCGAAGCCCCGCGCCCGCCCCGCCCAAGCCGCCCCGCGCCGCCCGGAGGAGGAGGAGCCCCGTGCTGCCCACCCATGCCGTCCGCCGGCCACCGGAGGTGGAGGAGGAGGAGCCCCGCCCCGGCGACCGCCTCGCCCCGCCCCGACCCGCGCCTACTCGCCGGCCGAGCCCCGCCGCTTGTTCGCCCGCCGGGAGGAGGAGGAGGAGGAGGAGGGGAGAAGGACTACCGCCGACCACCGCTGCCGTCCGTCCAGCCTCCTGCACCCCGCCCTCGTCGCCAGGCGCCCCGGCGCCCACAAGGTATGCTCTTCCCTTCCCTTTGCCTTCCTTCATGTTGTGCAGTGGTGGAGTCGTGGTGGTGGTGGCGGCGGAGTGGTGGTGATGGTGATGATGATGGTGGAGTGGTGTTGGTGATGGTGGTTGGCGTTGTTGTGGTGGTGGTTGGTGGTGGTGGTGGAGTGGTCGTGGTGGTGTTGGTGTTGGTTGGTTGGTGGTGGTGGAGTGGTGGCGGCCGTGCTGTAGTAGTAGTTGTAGTACTAGTAGTAGTAGTAGTAGTAGTAGAAGAAGTAGTAGTAGTGGTGTGGTGGTGGCGTGGCGGTGGTTTAGTAGTAGCAGTACTACTACTAGTAGTAGAAGTAGTATTATGTATGGATTGAGAATTAAACTGCATGGCTACCCTTGATGTATATGTGGTTGTCGGCCATCGTGCCATTGTTTCTTGCAGGTTTTGGAAACCTCACCATGCAGGGGAGGTGCTGCCGAAATTTTGAATTGACAGTATTATGTTTCTTTTTTTTTTTGCATAGAAGAGCCCGTAGAAGCCAAGCCGGAGTACCCCGATCGTCTTCCTCGTCACGCCGGGTCTGCCTGCTTCCCGTCGCCTCGCCACTGCATCGACCCGCCATGGCCCCGCTAGCCTGACTCCACTGCCACCCAAGGTATAACCCCTATTTCCGTATTATGGTTGTACATCACATAACCCAGTTAGGCGTCTCCCGTTCGAAAGAGATACGGTTGGAAGTATGCAGATCTTTGCATATATATAACCGTATCTGTTTCGAATTGACCACGTTTCTTGGACAGCCCGCGGATGTGTAGATGTATTAGTTTCCATGGTCTGCTCCAATCCAAGACATAGTTTTGGCATCGTCTCACTGTTGTTCTCTGGATACACACTCTTCGGGCCAGGACATGTATCTGGAGAACAGCATGGAGGTGCTGCCGAAATTCTGT